GTTTCATTTTTAATTGGCTTCCTTTCGACAGCAACACTGAGCGGCTTTCATTAGTGGCCAAATGCATGAAAATGCCATGGGATAATGATTACTCGCGAAGAGTGCAGTGCTCTGGGGCATGTGGATTGATGTGTTATGGCAACGCGCCATCAATTATCAATTGGCGTACTTTTTGGCTAATCTTCCCGGAGTTCCCGGAGATGTTTTTCAGCCATTATACTTTGTGCCCCCTACTGTGTGTCGCTCTCGTTTCCTCAGCTTTCGATTGGTAAATCCATGGGACATCTTACAGCTGCCTCCACTTCGCGATGCCTTTTGTGCTGTGCCTGTCACTTGAGCTCTTTGAGTGCTTCATGTGTAAGCGGCTGCTGCATCCACTTCCGCTGTCATTGCTCCTCCTGATTCATTTCCCGCATTCCGGGGAGCACTTGCCCAAGGAGACGTCGCGGAAATTGCAAGTATCGTTGATTCATTTGATCGTTTTGCAAGTCAAATGGGCCGCATGACGAACGAGTTCTCTGGCAGGTCACAGGGCTCACAGTCATTAATATGCATGATGATTGGTATGCAGGAAACAGAAGCATCCTGAAGAGGAGCAGTAGCAGTAAAAGGAGTCAGAGCCAGAGCCAGAGCCAGTGGCAGCCCAAGGCGCTGCTGCTGGTGTCCCGCTGTGCAAATAACAAACGGCTTACTTACTCTCGAGGATGGGTCCTGGTCCTGTCCTCCCCAGGGGACTGCCAGCTCTGCGCCGTCGTTGAGGGCAGCGATTATGGGTGCCGTTTTGCGCGGGGGCAAACAACATTAGCAACGCTGATTGTAGGACACTTAACAGGCGCCGGAAACAGCAGCAAAAGTTCCACTGCGACGCCATTTAACTTGCTGTCAAATATTTGCATGCAACATCAGACAGGCTGGCTACATGTATACCCAGACGGAGGCACGAAGATACTTTTTTTTGTTTGAAGGTGCATTTAATTTTCCTGTTCCCATTCGTTGGCTGTCGACGCCTTTGTCTTCGTTCAAATTACGTTTTTCATTTTCTCTTTGTCTGGCGCTTTTCCTTCGCATCAAGTCTGCATTGTCAGGGAAAAGTGCAGCAAATTAATTTGTCCTACCTATCAACGTCATCATCACAGGGCATTCTTATGCTCATTACGCTGTGAAAAGTCTGGCAAAAGCACACAAGACTTAAGGGAAAACTTTGCACACAGTGAAAAGTGAAAAGGGAAATTAGAGGACCTCCCTGTGTGGCACTGGGCCAGAGGGGCAAAACTTAAAAATCAGCCCCATTTCCAGGCCATAAAATGGGCCAAATGAAGTCTCTACTCCGACACACTTGGCTGACCAAGGCATCAAGGGGAACTATCCCTAGCTAGTATGCAAAGATGTTTGCCTCTTGAAGCGCATTCGGGTGTTGACTGGGCCAATATAACTTATCCACTTGAGGACCAAACACTTATGGCCACCGACCGACAGCAGCTCTAAGCTACTTTTAATGTTTAGATACAAGCCCAACACACAACACACAACTGCAGACAGAACTACATCGTTGGGAGGGTGGAGGATGGGAATGGGATGCCATGTTTTGGCATCAAGTTAATAAAAGTTCTACGACATTTTGACCTGAAAAATATTGCAAAAATAAAATGGCTGCCAGGCTGTTGCTTCAAAGGAGCGGTATGCTTGCTGGCTCTGCTTGCTCCTTGCCGCTCTGTTGCCACTGCCAAACTGCCACACTGCCACACACCGCCTGCAGCTGCTGTGGTTTTCCAGCTGTGCAGACAGCCGCCTGAAAGTATGCTTTAAATAGTGGCATAGTAAAATATTTACTTTGGCGCAGAAAAAGGTTCGGTTCGTGCAAGGGAGCGGGGAGGGTTAAAGCAAAATAAACTTTTGCTGCCCCGGCAAAATGAAAAACAGAGGCCGGACCCGGACTCGTAGCCGAAGCTGGAGCCGAAGCCGGTCCCAGAGTCCAGCAAAAAAAAATTCATTAAAAGGGATAACGACTCACATAGTTGGAGTCCTCCTTCGTCGTCCTCCTCCACGTCGTCACTGTGTGCGAGTGTGTCTGTGTTAAAGGATTACGGATTTGGTGGGAATTTTTTTAGTGCAATTTAATTACAGATTATGTGAAGCAGCATGGCATCCACAAATGCGGGACAAGGGTTCGTTTACTTAACATATTTCCCAACAAATGTAGCAGCCATGTTCTCAGTTTCAGTTCCGCTAAATTACTGAGAAAGTGAAATGGCAAATAAAATCTGTCTGCAAAGTCTGTCCATGCTCGACCAAAAATTCTGTGTGGAAATTAAATCAAGAACATGTTCGTATATTTGCTCAATTAAATTTTCATATTTAATTGCTGAGTATAATTGGGGGGGAACTACAACATTTGTTGGTGGCAGCTCTCGTTAAACCCTTTTCAGTTGGCTGAATGAATTAGTTAAACGGAATTTGCACACTTGCCAACATTAATGTATTTACTGGAATTATTCCGCTTTTGAATTTGCATATATTGCACACAAAATCCGATTACCAAACTCTGCCCTGACATTTGATATGCTTTTAACATCAAGTGCAGCTTATGTATCATCTGCTCAGAAGTTTGGACTTGCCACAGCTGCAGCATGCGAGGGTTTAATCAGGAAACCGAGATATATATGTTTGCACTACTCCGCTGGAATATTAAAGCAGTCTGGAGATACGGAAGTGTGGCGCTAAGCAATCAAGACGGCGCTGCACTCCACACAATCGCAACGGACTGCTCAATCCTCACTGCTCATTCGTTCTCCTCGCGCTTCATGAGCTACGATTACTTGTACTTTTTGAAATATTTCCAGTAGTATTTTCAAACTGGAGGTGCCTGGCCAAATAAATTTTGCTGCAACCCCACAACATTGACAACAATGTGCATGTGGTTGTGAGGGTCGGGTATCCAAGCCTCGGACAGGGGCTAATTCATTTACAATATTGTGCCACGTGGCTGCGGGAAAATTAAATTATGCATTGGCAGTGCACGGTGCGGGCCCTGTGGGGGACAAAGGCGGTGCCAAGGCCAGCCATCGAGCAACTTTTGTAATTAATCAAAGTGCAACAGCGTTATTCCTGCCACCGCAACATCGACGGCTGCCGGGCAGCATCCTCCACAGCCACTTAAGGTTTTCCTTCAAGTTTAAGCATTTAAACTGAATCATTAACCTTATTACCTGCTCCTGCTCCTGCCTCTGGAGCCCGTCCATAGGAGGAGCAGGAGTCTGCGTGGCAGACCTGCATAATTTCATTTTGAATGCAAACTTAACAACTTTTTACAAGTCAAGCATGTTAATGCGCTTGTTTATGCTCCCTCCTGTGCTCTGTTCCGTTCTGTTCTGTGTCTCATTAACGTCAACTTAATTTGCTTGCCATATAAATTTAATTTACCACAGGTCTGATATTATATTCCACGCAGCCACAAATCGAAGGAGGAGAGCCACCCACCACTAACCTGATCCAAACTTTTCCTTCACTTCGTGCTGACTCGCCCCTATTGTTGGCGACTTCTTTAGTATTTGCTTAAAGAAGTTTGTTATATATTTTGATATGCATACATACATGCATATGTAAGCTTGAGTTTCCCCTCATTATTCTCTCTATTGAAAGAAACTTTATTTTAAAGTTTCTTCCAATTTATTTGCTTTTATTCGAATTGGGTTGGAGTATTGGAGTACAACTGGTTCAAGTGTGTGCCAATTCCCTAATTGTTCTGAAATCAGAATGCACATGCTTACATACATATACATATGTATACTCCTCACAAGTGCAACCCAATACTCTGCCAGTTTCAAGTACATTTGATACCTTGCCATGCCCATTGTTTGGCTTACATTTGGAAGCTTTGCAAGAACAAATTTGCTCTCAAATTAAATTTCCCCCCTTCCTAAATGATCTCCTTTGGTCTGTCAGTTCTCGCAATGCTTTTCAGGCAACCACTAAAGGGTCTGCATCAACATAGGCAATAGGCAATAGGCAACATCATCATGGACGGGGACTCTGCTGCAGGTCGCACTGCAAATTGCAAGTTAACTGGGCCCAAAGCCCGCACTTTTTGGCTGGCTAATTGCCAGACTCCCCCATGGGAAATGCTCTGGCAGCAGAGTGTTGGAGCGCACTATGCCAGCATCCAGGTAAATTGCGGTTTACCTGCAGCTGACTGGCGGCGACTGGCCCATCAGGCCATTAACGCGCGCAATCAAGTGCACTTTGCAGAAAGTTAAGGCAAAAACTTTTGACTCTCTGGCTGCGGCTGAGACTTGATTGATGGTTGCAGTTGGAGCAAATCCTAATTAAACCGTTACTTATTGCGTGAGTGAAAATCTTTCACGCTTTTCTCGAGAGAGAGCAAAGGCAATCCTTGAGTCGGCGGCCATTGGCTTACAAGTAATCTAATCAGCTTTGTCTGGCTGTGGGGCCAGGGCCAGGGCCAGCACTTGTCTCTAATGGTTGCACTTGAGTCCCTGCTCCTGCTTCGCGTCCTTCCATTGCTCCTTCTTCCCCCTGCTGCCCCTCGCATCGCAACATGCATTTCCACTTAGATTGAGAGCAACTTTTGCCATTTATTTTGATTACACTCTGGCGGGGCCTGGGTCTGGGCTTTTGGCTGTTTCGACTTTTTCTGTGGAAATTAAAATAAATTAACAAATAAACTTTGGCCCCCAAAAACTTGAGTAAGAAGTTTGGATGCCGATTGCAGGCCATAAATTACGTCCCATACCGGCAATGGGTATGGCACCTGATACTGACTTCAATTGCGTGTAATAAATTATGAAAAATCCAACGAATATGAGCTGGCAGCCGGCAGTCAGCAGTCGGCGAGAGGCTGCTGACGGGACTGAGCTCCTTCCTGCACATAATTAAGTGGGTTTTAATGAGACTCGCATCAGTGTCGCAGGAGGAAGAGTGCCCCAGCCGAACGGAATTGTGATTTGTGGCCACTTGGGCCACTTATTAGACCCAGTGCTATGAATAAATACGGCAAGGCAAGTGGTTTGTAGGTTGACTCAGGGACTTGGTTTATTACGGCCACTTCAGGACGTTGTCGTTGTCGTTGTCGTGGTGTTGCTGATGGCCGCCTTGAGGCGCTCCTTTTTCGATTTGCTTTGCTTGGCTTGAGGCGACTGTGGCTGCGGCTGTGGCTTCTGCTGAACGGACTTATCCTTCTCCTCCATAATGCGCTGGAAAAGCATCGCACTACTCTGCCCATCCAACTGATGACGACTCCTCGTGCTGTTACCGCTGGAGTCCCTGGCAAAGTTCTCGTTCAAACAATCCCAACCGCGCTGGGACACTGGCACGCTGAGCTTATCGAGCAGTCGTGTGGCCAGCTGAGGAATTATGGGCTGGAGCACAATGCCGCAGAGCCGCAGCGCGTCCATTGTCATGGCGATTATGGTCGCCAGTCGGGGCTCGTTGGCGCCTTCGGCACCGCCCTTTAGCTCCCAGGGCCTGGCACTCTCAAAGAAATTGTTGGCCGCATGCAGAGCAGCCATCGTCGTGTCGGCCACCAAGTGGAAGTGATTGCACTCATAATGCGCCTCGCATCGTTCTGCAAAAGCGAACAGAATACAGAATGCAGAATGCAGAGTACGGAATACAGAATACAATATACAAAATGATGGCTTCACTTTGAGCTCTCAGGCTCTTTGGATGGCTTGCTTGGCCACACTCTCGAGTGCACTTGCTGCTTAGTGATTGGCCGGAAGAGTGCCAAGCAGATGGGGATGCGGATGCGGATGCAAATGCAGATTATAAAGCATCTCGAGGCAGGCACTTCAGCAGCAAACTTCAGCCACAAGCCTCGAGGATGGTGGCTGCTTAAATATTAAAATGACAAGGAAGCTGTCGAGGTTTACCTGACAGCTGTAGCAGCGTGTCCCGCAGACGCTTGGCCGCATCCACATTCTGGAGCAGATCCGCCAAGTGCTCGGCATGCGGCTGGGGATACACTTGGCGGGGATTCAGCGACTTGGCACAGGCACGCGATAACAGATTGCCCAAAGTGTCCGCCAGCTCCGAGTTGAGGATGCGCAGTGCCTTCACGTGGCTGTAGTCTGAAATGGGAATCAGAAATCAGAGACCAGGAGAAACTACTTGTCAGGAACTGCTTTCTGCTGTCTCTGAATGAATGCGAGGAATGAAATCAGATCTACTCGCATTATCACTGCTGTTGACCCCAAAACAAAACAAACAAACAAAAACAAAACCCTACTCAAAGCGGAGCACACTAGTCGTATGGGTGATATTTTCATCTTCCATTTAAGTTCTACACGAAATGCTTACAAATTCGCCCATTAAGGGGCCTGGGAGAACCCACCAGAGACTCGCAGTCAAAGGCTGCTCCGTGCCCTCCGTGTCCGCCGTGGGGATAAAATCTAAAATCCGAATAACTTAACAACAACATCATCAGCAGCAACAAGCTGGAAAAGTATCTCCCTTTTCCTTATTTTCCCTATTTCCCGCTAAATCTGCTACAAATGTTGCAGGTGGCTGGCTTTGTGGGCGAGAAGCTGCGCATGAAAGGGTTTAAGCTTCGCTAATGCTCGTAGTTGCAAAATCTTAGCTGCTACTTGGTTCCAGGGAAATTGAATTGAAAGGAAGGAGCGTGTAAAGGGAAAAGCATTGAAAACTGGGACTGGTGAGGGCTTGCTCTTATAATATGATGACGATGATGTTGGTGATGGTGGTGCCTTAAGGGCAACCCTAGTTGCTCTCATTTAATCAAACATTAGCCATTTCAAGGGTTCTTTGTTCTGAGAACTGCTGGGAACTGCTTCAAGGAGATCGATTGAATTTATTTCGAGCTTCATGGAACTCTAGCACAATTCCAATAGCCCTTTGGCTTGGCACAAAAAACTAATAATCCACTGCTTCAAGGACATGGACATGGCTCATGGTAACCAAACCGAAAATTATTTAAACTCCAGCAGGGCCATTGATATGCGTCGAGTAGTTAATTAAAATTGTGCTACCTATGAAAATGAAATTCCCAACCAACAATTTCGGATTTGATGATAGCAGCAGACGAAGCTCCAGTCCCAGTCCCAGCCATCCATAAATGGGAGCCACAAAATGCAGCTGCATCTGCAGCCATTTGGTAATTAAAACTATACCCGTCCAGAGACAATAATCGGCTAATTGCTGCTGGCAAGCAATTATGGCTATTTCGAAATTCTGACAATTTTGATTGGCGGTTTTTCAATCAAATTAAAACTTGCCCCCAAAAACCGAAGCGTTCATAATTTCCACAGCAAACAGAATTCGTTGTGGGGAATTTCATTAGGAGTTCTATGAACTTTCCAAACTCGCAATGGAGCGAGAGTTTCTCCACGGGGGGTACGGCAACTGCCAAAACTGTTGCCGCCATCATTAATGCAATTGTTGCGCAACAAGAAGCAAAATAGGGAGGGACAAAGAGAGAGCAAAGTTTTACGAGTGCCACCTGAAGTGAATCAGGCAAAAGTCAGCTAAAATTCAAGTGAATGGGCGTCGGATTGAGTTCCACATGCACAGACGACTGTAGTTTCTGAAATCAAATTCATGTCAAGCAGCAGCTACGACAGAATGGCACTGAGAGATGTATGAGACCTGGGGGATACCTGGGGTACGAAGAGCTCTTCAAGGGTACTTTAATGTGATTTAATAGATATTTTCCAAATATTAATATGGCATTCATTTGTATTTGATCTGCTGCCTATGTTTCTCATTTACTATAGGATATCCTTTGGGTCGTTTGGGACTCTCTCTCTTGATCCGACAGGCACTGCACTCTTTGCAAAGTCATTGAATTTCATATTGAGTTAACTGAAGCGATTGGAAGGGCAGGAGCAGGAGCAGCAGCTCCAGCTTTTCATTTTGAATGCATTGAATTTTGATGCCTGGCCTGCCCGTCGGCTGTAAATCATTGAAAATGTAGAAATGCATCAAAGTTTATTAGCAGCTACCATGCGCCCGCCCGTCTACAATGCCTGCCCCGCCGCAACCCAATCTAGTATTGCCTTCTAATGAAATTGTTTGGGAAGAGGCTCCTCCGCAACACGTGTTGTATGTTGTATGTGGCGTTACCTGTCCGAGACCGACATCGACATGGACCCCTCGCTGGCGCTTAAGTCCTGCCAACTTTTAACTGCTTACGTGAGCAGCTACAAATTGCAAAAAAGCAAAAGTTCCGGGCATGTGCAATAAACACCGGGAGGGGGGGAACTCTGTACACATGTACATACAACACTTGCAACAAAACTTTAAGCACATTCTGCACATGGAACACGTGACAGGGAAGGAGGCCCGACCGGCCACAGACACAGAAACAGACACAGAGACACAGACAAATGCTGCTGCACTTGCTAGCCCTAATATAAATAATACTTTTTTACGTGCCCCACGAGTTGCACTCTAGATGTAGCCGGTTGCCGGTTGCCTCTTGGCTGCACCTTAAATAACCTCAATAACTTGTCGCTTTCCCGTTGCTGTTCCACTTTTTGCCATTTGCCCTGCAGAACTTTGACACAATTTTTCCCACTCTTTGCTTATATATTTTTCAAGCTAACTTTGGCTTTAACTGGAGAGCAGCAGAGCATGTTTACTGAAAGGGGTCGGGGAAAGGCAACACTTTCCCATCAAATATTTAACCAGCCTTGCTGCAATCGGAGACAGCCAGTCGGAGGTGTCAGGCAAATTAGCCGCCGAGCACAGGTCGGGTCGTACGAGCATGTTTTATGTGACAAACAATAATTTCTTGTCGACACACTGTAACAGGATTAGACGGGGGCGGAGCATGCCCAAGTAAACTTGAAGCAGGATGAGCAGCATAAGAAAGAATCACAAGAAGATGCAAGTTGAAGGATAGGCAGCGCCTTGGAGGATTATGGAAACGTTTATTCAAGAATAACCATTAGATCCAACAACGAAAGATTCACACTGGAGGCTACACAAACCGGGTACAGCGAAGCACGTACCAATAATGGACTTCTGATAGATTCGCAGAATTCTTTTCGCGTTGTCAGCTGTCACACAAAACTTGTCCGACCTTCAGCTCAGAGAAGGAGCCGCCGCCGTACTTGAAGGAACAGCATTCTCCAGCGACAAGTTTAAGTATTCAAATTTATAAATTGAGTAACGCCCCAAGGAAGCTGATTGCATCAGCGTACAGTTGCCTTTGCCAGAGGGCCTGCCGCCTCCTTCACTTATTTGCATTTGCTGTAAAACTTTTTCTAGACAGATGACGCAGGTCCTTCAGCAGCACTTGGTCTTGGTGCTGGTCTTTGGTCTCCTGTACCCGCAGCTGTTATTGCATCAGATTCGAAATGCAATTTCTATGTCGAGCACATTCTCTCCACTAAGCGGAACTTCCGCTGGTTGTTGCTAATGAAAAGTGTTTGAGCGTTTAAGAATGTTCTCCCAACGCGTTATGAAAGCAACCTTACACCCCTCCTCCTCCCCATCACCCGAAGCAACCAGCCACAAATCGGATTTAGAGTGGGGAACTGCACCTAATGGACATGGCCCATCTGCTTGAATTAAAGAAAATTTATCTGTCATAAATCATTTATGGGTCCCAAAAATATGCAAAATGCGAGCTCAAAACATTCGTAATTTAATCAGGCGGCGGCGCTGACGCACTGCAGCACATTCTCGGTTTTTTTTTCGTGTTTTAATTTGCAGCGTCAAATGCAATAAAAATTCAATTAAATTAGCCGCAAAGCAGCGGGCCATAAAAAAAAAGAAACACAACAAAAAAATTCATGAACAAGCGCAAATTGAATAAAGGAAAACAGGAAAAGCTGCTGCTGTCTGCCTGGGAAATCCACCGAAAAAGCAAAGTCAGCAATAATTGAAAATTAAATTTTGAGACCTGGCTGGCACGGGTGGAAGCCTCACCGAAGGGGAGGGCGATAACAAGTTATGTAAATTGAAAACCGAAAAACGATGGCATGGGATGGGATGGGGTGGGAGAATCAATCAAAACGCATCTAAAAGTGGTGACACTCCCCACAAATCAGTCTCTGGCCATCGAAGTGTGTTAATTGCTTACGAAAGAGTCCTGAATGGCAAGTCCGTACCCCTGAACCCTGAACCCCGAACCCCTATTCACACGAACCTGATTGATGGCAGATTCTAATCATATCCGTCAGACAATTGCCGGCTTTCCCCTACGAAACGAGACCACTGCTTCGGGTTGTGGTTCCCCTACTCCTATGCAAATCACTGGGAAGTTTTCTTCCCAGGAAACGAGAGAAACTTTCAAGGCAAATAAACAAAAGTCAGTTTCGGCAGCAGACCAAAAACTTTTCCCCTTAGTTTGTGTGGAGTCGGGCATAAAATTGAAATGCAAATTAAAGCAAAGGTAAACGGAACGACGACAGATGGTCACTCACATATGTATGCAGCACACAGGCGCAGGACACGGGCACACAGGAAACCTCAACCTCAACAGTTTTGGCTGGTGATTTGATGGAAAAACTATTCGAATCCCCTCAGTATCCACCCTTAAGGGACAGGCGCCCGCTGAATGGCAAGCCACAAAGTGAACAAGCCACAGACATCAAAAGGATTTCGCGGTTTGTTGTCGGCCACTGAACTTAGTTGGTAGCTTCACTCACTGCCATCGCTGTGGGCGACGCCCTCGCGCAGCAGAAAGTAGCGCAGCCCCTCCATGGTGTACTGCTGGGCGGCCTGTACGGGATCCACCACATTGTGCTTGCTCTTGGACATCTTCTGACCGTCGACGGTCCAGTGCGAGTGCACGTACAGCTGCTGCGGCGGCTGTAGGCCAGCGGCCAGCAGAAATGCGGGCCAGTAAATGCCATGGAACTTGAGTATGTCCTTGCCAATCACCTGCTGGGCAGGCGGCCAGTGAGTCAGAAACTGCAATGAGAAAGGAAACATTCAATAGGTGGATTATAATTCAGCGTATAAGCTTGATTTTACCTTCTCATTGGGATATCCCAAGGAGCTGAGGTAGTTGACCAGCGCATCTAGCCAAACGTACACCGTTTGCGAGTCATCCCCCGGCACGGGTATGGCCCAGTGGACGCGGTTGGAGGGCCGCGACACGGACACATCCGGCAGCGGTTCACTGAGCGTGTCCAAAAGAATCTTCTCGAACTTGGCCGGCCGTATGCGCGCCTCCTGCTTGACCCAGTGCCGGACATCGTCCTGGAACTGCGAGAGGCGGAACATGTAGTTGGTCTCCTCCGTCCACTCCACGGGATGGCCCGACTCTAGGGAGTAGCGCGTGCCGCTGGCCTCGTCCAGACGCAGTTGGGAGTCGGTGAGGAAGACTTCATCGGACACACAGTACCAGCCACTGTAGGCAGCCGAGTAGATGTGTCCCCGCGAGTGCAGCGTGCGCTGTGGAAGCAGAACTCAGAATGAAAATATGTCACAGGAATCTCCACTATCCCCTGGCCCCATCCTACCCAGAACTGGGCCACGGCCTGCTTGTGCCGCTCCTCCGTGGTGCGTATGAAGTCGTGATTCTGTATGTGCGCCGCCTGGAAGACCTCCCGGTAGCGGGACGATATCTCCCGGCAGTACTGATCCACGGGCACCTTGTGGCTGGCTGCCGCCTGCTGGATCTTGGTCCCATGCTCGTCGGTGCCCGTGCACAGCCGGACATCAATGGCAGGATGCCGTAGCTTCTGGTAGCGACAGTGGGCATCGGCTATCACCGCCGAGTACAGGTGGCCAATGTGTGGTGCTAAAAAGGGGTCCAACTTTACTTACAGAAGCAACAAAATCACCGAACCCGAGCTCACCTGCGTTTACATAGAAAATTGGCGTCGTCACGTAGTGCAAGCTGCTGTAGCGTGCGCCCAGACAGTTAAGTAGCTTAATTCTACGCATTAGCATTGTCTAGTCATTACTTTTAATATAGAAATGCAACAAAATCGCGAAAACAAATTGCCGGCAATGATTTTATAACAATAAACAGCTGTTCAGTGTGACCCCTCAGAAATATACCGAAACTAACCAGATTAAATATACTTTTATATCCCGAAGAATTTCGGTATTTTTTCTGCGCTAAATGGAGTTTGGCGGTCATCAAATACAAAGTTAAATTTTTATTATTTTTTTTAAATTTTTATTTTATTGTTTTACCAAAATATAAAAATGAAATGGGGCTTAACAAAACACAAACTAAGAAAATATATAAATGGCTGAACCACGTGAGCCCCGTCTACATCTTGGCCCCTCCTCGGGGGTACTTTCCTGGCTGCCCGATCATCCACTGCCGGTAGGCGGCCATTCGTCGCATCCTTTGCGCCTTCTTTTTGGCCTCGACGGCGGCACAGGCCGCTTTGTATGCTGCCTGCTTGGTCTTCTCAAAGTCCGACTTGGCTTCCGTCATCTGCTTGTTGAGACTCTGGACCCGGTTCTTGGCCGCTTCTAGCAGTTGGGTCTTCTCCGACAGCTCCGTCTGTGCGCCCTGGGACACGCCCTCAATATTGGCCAGATTTGATGTGGCGGCTTGCAGCAGAAGCTTAATATGCTCCACCTGAGTCTGCGAGTCGGCGGCCGCAGCTGCTGCGGCAATGTTGTTGGCCTGGGTGTTCTGCAGCGAGGACGTCACCTCAGTGACGACGGCCTCCGCCTCGGCCAACTCCTGCTCCAACTGCTCGACAATCTGCTGCTTGCCCGCGAGCGCTGCTTCGGCTGCACGGGCCGACTGTGCTGCTCTCTCGGCCAGCTCCGATTTGACCTGAGTGGCCGCTGCCTCGGCTGCTGCCATTTGGGAATCGCTGGCTGCCTTTGCTTCTTGCGCGGCCTTCTGGGCGATGTTGGACGCCTTGGACTTGGGATTGCCCTTGTCAAAGTTGCCGCATTGCTTCCCCTTCGGAGATTCGTTACCGCAACTCGCCTCGCCCCCACCACCCGCCGCCGCCGCCGCCACCGCCGCCGCCTCGCCCGAATCCATGTACAGTTTGGAGAGGAACGGCCCGCTGTCCCGTTCATCCAGCTGGGCAGCATCGCCGTACTGGTAGATGGACTCCAGTCCGAAGATTCCATGCAGAAGCACAAGGCAGGTGAGCACCGCTTTGGTATAATTCATTTTTCAATTCAATTCAAGTTCGAGATCCGTGCACTGTCCAAACGTCCAAGGCCTGGGCTGCTTTGCTTTGCTCTGATGTTTGTTGCTTCCAACCGAATACTGGCGTTTGCCTTTGTTCATTTGACATTTCATCTGGCATATTATTCAGCTGTGGGAAAAATGCTCGAAAATGCGAATAGAATTTTTGATATTCGGACTTCTCATCGCACTCATCTGTCTGACAGCAGAGGCCACGGGATATTACGGCGACTCGCGTTTCCGGACACGCAGCAAGCGGCTGCTGCCCTACGATGGCGGTGGAACGGATGACTCGACGAGGGGTGTCGGCGGTGGCGGCGGGAATGGCTGCAATCCCGACAACCCGCAGGAGGACAGCCAGCAGAGGGGGGAGCAAGGGCAGCGGCAGGCATCAGGCCGCAATCAGAAACAAGGCAACGCCAAGCAACGATCCTCGGGCATTGCGGTACAAGCAGCCAAGGAGGCGAAGAAGGCAAACGATGACATGGCCTCGGCGGTGAAGGTGGCCTCGGACAAGATCAAGAACGAGTACGCGGACAAAGCAATGTCGGCAGCGATGGCTGCCGAGGCAGTTCTAGCGGGCAAGAGCCAAATCCTCGAGCAGCTCGAGGCGGAGGTGCGCGAGGCCGAGCTGGTGGTGCAGGAGGAGTCCCAGGAGCTGCTCTCGGCCGATGCCAATGCCCAGTTGGCCCTGAAGCAGTACCAGCAGGCGCAGACGGAGCTGAAGATGCTGCTGGCCACGCTCAAGGTGGTCAGAGAGAGCAAGGAGAGCTCCGAACAGACGAACATGGTCTGGCAGCAGTCGCTGGTCGAGAAAGGCGCACTGCTGGAGGCGGCCCAGAACCGGGTGGGCGTACTGCTCCGCCAGCTGAAGGATGCACGCACCGACCACGCAAAGACCAAGAAGGCGGCCCTGAAGGCCCTCTGTGCCGCCAAGGAGGCCAAGCAGCGCATCGAACAGGACGGTGGTGTTAGCCCTTGATGCTCTTAATACTAATACTCGTCGTCGTATATTTTCTATTGGGATTAAAGAACGTTTGTTGTGTGTGTTTGAATTTTAATCTGTAGTTTATTAAACTTTTTTCTTTAGGGAATAAAAATATAAAATTCCTCGACAGCGTGCAAAAAGTGCGCGCGCGTCTTGAATGGCTGCCAAAAAAATGCTATGGAACTTTTGCCTGTCCGCCGACGACTGACTCCTCCTTTTGCTCATTGATCGATCCAATCCAATCCATCCATCCATTCATCCATCCGTTCGTTCGTTCGCTTCGCCTTAACAAGATTATACAATATAAATATATATATATATGCGCGACAAATACCAGAGCGGACTAATGCTATAAAAAATCTATTTAGAATATAAGTGAGGAGGCTCAGCTCCTCTCGCTAGGACCGCAAATTTAAAAATAATTTTCGAACAAAGAAAACGTACGGGTACGGCTAAACAATTTACACGGATTCCGGATTTTACATACACAAAAAATATACGAGTAGAATTACATATACATATAAATGAATAAATATACAATTTAAAAAAATACAATTAAAAATGTTTGTCTGTCTGTTTGGGTTGTTTCGAATAATTTCAAAGGGGGTGATGCTTGGTTTCTATATACTACATACATATTTTATCTCCCTATATCGAGTGAAGCGGGTTTACTATCTGTGGTCCCAATCAATCAATCAATTAGTTACATTAGTATTGACAATTGTTAACAAAACATAAATACGCAGAGGCTCGACATAAAATAGTTGCTTTGCTTTTGCTTTGCTTCCTCCAACTTCCTCAACTTTCAGATCATAATCTGGTTATACATTTTGTTGTATATTTTGTATCCTTAATTGTTAGTTCAATTCTTATATCAATATTTCTATATAGATGTAGATATATATAATATTTTTTAATATTTATAATTCGTATGCAATTTATATGTACAAATTCTAACACAAAGCCCCTGTAAGTAAACGTCCCACAAATTGTCATCTAATTTCATGAGCTGCCCCAGCCCTGCCTATGCTTATTGGTGTGTGGTGTGTGTGGTGTGTCTGTGTGTGTGTGTGTGGTGGGTAGGGCTCTCCCTAATCCTATACTATAGGCATATATATATAATTATAATATCTAATTTAAATTATTACTCCCCCTTGAATACTGACATCATCGAGTTCTTGTTTTGTGGGGAGTGTTGGATATTATTATTGTTGTTGTTGTTGGATTCCTATGTATGTTGCATTCGTTGCTGCTGCTGCAGATATTCATGTATGTGTGTGTATGTGTGTGTATATATAGTAATAGATTATATATAATATATATATATTAGGATATATAATAATATCAACTGTTTAACTCTTACATTTACTTAAGACTTTTTCATGTGGGGTGGCGCGGGGTTGTGGGGGGTGTGGTTGTTGTATAAAACGAAAAGTATATCACGATAGATCAAACATAGATCGCAAATAACCGTTAACTACGAGTTTTTGTTTTGTTTTTTGTTTGTTGTTTTTCTTTCATGTTTCATGTTCCGTTGTCTCCGATACTGAGTAATATGTATATATGCATTTGTATATATGTATGTATGCGTGTAGGGAGGGGGTTGGGCCCTAATTTAAGTACTTGCGACATCGCTTGGAGCCGCACGAGCAGGGTATCTTCTCATCCTCAAAGGGGAACTTGTAATCGTACGTCAGCTCCTCGCCCTGCACAATGCGCCGCAACGCAAAGATAATGATGTGCTTATGTCCCAGTATATCGACGACCTTTGAGTAGCAATTCGGCTGTAAAATCAATGTTTAAATTAATGTAAAATATATATATATTAACAATATGAAATGTGGCTACTCACCTCACACGAGTGATTGATAAAACGCGCCGCATTGCCACGCATGGTGGCATCCACCACCAGATTGTCATCGATCTTGAACATGTAGCAACCGATGCCGCGACTATCGTAGTAACGCTCCCTCTTGTCCGTCAGCGTGGAGCGTATCAGCTCGCCAGCGTATTCAATGACCATTTCACCTGTACGGAAAATAAAATAGGAAATTATTCCACCTTTCGAAAAGGGCCATCCATGAGCCACTTACCCGCTTCAATGTCCTTGGTGCAGTAGAGACCACGTCCATGGATATGGGAACGGAACACGCCCACATAATCCTTGTAGGTCTCCTTCAGAGTTCGGTACTTCATGGCCATGGGTAGATTGCTGCCCGTTCCTCTTCTGCAAATGCAAATGCAAATTCACATCCAAAATCAATCAGAGTTGCCATGGGGGCGACTGGGCAGGGACTTACCTTGGCACCAGCTCGTTGTCCGAGGGCTGCACAAACACCTGAATGGGCTGCTTGCGGTGCCGGGAGGCCAGCCAGCTGAACATGTCGTATTCGGATCGACTCGCATACGGCTCACAGCGCGCACAATCGTAGGCATTCTCCTGCAGCTCATCCTGATCGGAGCCATAGTCCAGCAACGCCTGAGCATCGCCACCAGCGGCTGCCAGCGCTGCTGCACTGCAGCCACTGCTGCCGGTGGCAACGTGACCACCGGCACTTGCCGCCGTCGACACATTGCCGTTGCGCTTGTGGTACTTGGGCGTGTACTTGGAGCACTTCTCCACACCCGGCAGCTGCTCGATGAGGTACTTGAGGGCATTCGTCTTCAGTCCAATCATCTGGATGCCGCCCATATCGGCCAGCGGTCCCTCGGGCAGCGGCGTCAGGCCGTGCGCACGCCTGGCCACCTGCACCGCCTCGAAGACCTTCTCCCAGATCTCCGCGATGGAGCTGGACTTGTACGTGAAGCCGTCCTCGCTCTGGATCTCGAACAGCAAATGTGGTCCGCTGATCTTCTTCGGCTCGCGCATCGGAGGCGGCGGTTCTGGGGCCGCTGCTGTGGGCACCTCCATGGCCACGGAGGTGGCTGCTTCCTGCTCTTCCTCCTGCTGGTGCTGCTGCTGCTTCGTCGACGTCTCCTGGTGCAGCTGCTCCTGCTGCTGCTGATGCTTCTTGAGCTCCAGTTCGACGCCATTTTGCAGCTCCTTCAGTTCCAGGACATGGGCCTCGGCCATTTCATTGATGTAGGTGGCGGCTGCCTCCACGGCAGCCGTTTCCTCAGCCGTGGCCTCAAAGGCAGACGAAGAGGAAGGTGCCGCGGACGCAGCTGCAGTGGTGGCCAGGACATCCTCGACCATCTGCTGGTAGCCGGCGGCTGTGGCCTCCACATCGGCCGTCGTGGCGGTGGCCATCGAATCGGCACAGTCGTCGTTCGTGAGGTTGTCCAGAATCTTGCTGATCTTCTCCTTCACAGCCGGCTCCTCGCTGTCCGACATCTCGTGATCGTTGCACGCGGATGTGGCCATCTTCAGGCTGAAGTCATCGTCCTCGTCGTCATCCTCGTCGAGTTCCTCATCCTCGTAGGGATTGTCCGTGTCCATTGGCACCACCGATGCCCCTTGGTAGCTGCGATGCTTCTCCAGCAGATAGCCATTGCTCACCATCTGGTGGTCCATTTGGTGCTGGTGCTGCTGTTGCTGCTGCTGCTGGATGAGCAGCACCTCGCTCTTCACCTCCGGCTGCTGCTTCTCGTACAGTCCCTCCATGTAGATGGACTCTGTGGGCTGCTGCTGCTCCTCTTCCTCCTCATCCTCCTCATCGCCCTCCTCCTCCATGATGGTGGCCATTGAGGTCAGAGCGATGCTCTCCATTGCAGCGGCTGCCTTCAGCTCTGCCTCGTACACAGGCGACGGCAGAGGCGATGGCGAGGCTGCCGCCTTCTGGGCATAGCACTTGGAGACGCTGCCACTGGAGATCTGCAGGCTCACCTGCTGCTCCACGAGCGGCTTGGGCGGCGTCGGCGATGACACGACGGGCTCATTCGGTAGCGGCGCTGGCTCCTGCCGCTGCTGCATGGGCAGCACGCGGTTTGTGGGTCGACAGTTAATGCTGGTCGTGGTGCTGGTGGTGCTCGTGCTCGTCATTGTGATGCTGCTGCAGGGCGTCGCCTGCAGCTGCAAAGGATTCACCACATTGGTGGGCAGGGAGCTGCTACCAGCAAAGTGCTGCAATCGATTGATCATCTCCGGCTGCTGCTGCTGTTGCTGCTGCTGCTCGAGCACTTGGGTTTCCATCACAAACTGCGCGGACATTGTTGGTGGCGCCTCTGCAATGGTGATGATGGGCATCGCTGGCTGGGCTTGCTGTGGCTGTTGTTGGATGAGTATCTGCTGCTGCTGCTGCATCAGTTGTTGCTGTTGCTGTTGCTGCTGCTGAGGTTGCTGCTGCCGTATCAGCTGTTGCGGCTGCTGTTGTCGCTGCTGTTGCTGCTGATGCTGCTGCTGTTGGATGATTGTTACCTTGGCGGGCACTTGGCTAATCACAGGCGGATGCTGCACCTGTGTATGTTGCTGTTGCTGTTGCATGACAGGCATCGACTGTTGCTGTTGCTGCTGCTGTTGTTGCTTGGGCGTGGGTTTCATCAGCTTTGGCTTCACCTCCAGCTTATGGATGGGTCGTATCAGATTCGTTTTCTTCTGCAGCGGCTTTGAGGCAATGCTGGGCGGTGCTCCGCATGTGGATCCCGCCGTGGCCTTGCTCTTCATTTGCCCCTGTTGCTGCTGCTTCCCTGCTGCTGCTGCCACTGCTGCTGCATTCTTCAGCTGCTGCTGCTGCTGCTGCTGCTGCTGTGCCTGCTGTGTGGCTATGCTGGTGGGCAGCACCTTGTTCACGACCTGCGGCTGTGGCGGCACCTTTCCCACTCCCCCACCACCGGAGATGTTGTTGGCCTTTGCATTCGCTGTTCGCTTCATCTGCGTCACGGGTGGAATCTTGGCGGTGACCACCAGCGGGGCAGAAGAGTACTCCGCAGCCGAGGATGTCTGTGGCACCGTCTGGAACTGAAAGTTGGCATTCTGAAGCATCTCTTCCTGGCTCTGCTGCTGCTGTTGCTGCTGCAGCACACTGGCGGCATTCAGGAATGTGGCACCCGCACCGCTGCCATCGGACGTATTGTTGAGCACCACATAGCCGGCGGGCAGATCGACAATCGGTTCGATTTTGCTCGCCTGGAACACCTGCGTGGTGGTGGCCGAGAAGCTGGCATTCTGGCTGAGCACTCCCGGCATGGCCGTCGACACAAACTGTTGCGAGGACATCACCGTGTTCTGGACAATCGTCTCCAGGCCGTAGTACATGGGCTGCGTGGCCAGGATGACCTGCGGTCCCCCGGTGGCAAACTCCAGGCCCGTCGCACCGCCGCCTGTGGCTCCGCCGAGTATCAGCGGCTGCTGCACATTCGATCCGTTCTGAATGCCACCGGTCGGATCCCCACCCGCCGATGTGGTGGCCAGTTGCAGTGTCTGCGGCTGGATGAGGGTTCCAATCACCTGCGGCTGCGCTTGCAGCATCTGCAGACCCGAATTGGAGGGCGCCGTCGTCAGCACGAGATTGCCGCTGGCATCTGTTTGCAGGTAGGTGGTGGTGGCCCCTCCACCAGGTGCGGCCGTCAGGAATGTGGGCGCCGCCTGGGGCTGTGGCTTGTAGTCGTTCGTTGTCGGTATCGAGATGTACTGCAGCGGCTGGCCCTGGCTGCCGTCGCCCGTCACGAACGAAATGATGTTCTGTGGCTGTGTGTGCTGCGGCAGGATCAGCTGCGGATGCTGCTGCTGGGCGTTGCTCTGGAACAGCAGCTGCGGCTGCAGCATGCCCTGCCCCAGCAGCTGTCCGTTGCTGGTCACCGTTATGCCCTGATGATGCTGCTGCTGCTGCTGTTGCTGTGGGTGATGCTGATGCACCTGGTGCTGATGGTGCAGTTGGTGGTGCTGCGGCTGTGGCTGCAACTTGGCCTGAATGGGCTTCACCTGGTGATGGCCAGCGCCGGATTTGAGTTGCTTTTGCTTGGCCGCTGCCGTCGCTTGCTGTCCGGCCTTGGTGGCCACCGTTTTGAGCGGTTTGCCAGCGCCATTCAGCGGCAGGACAATCTTCTTGTCCGAATTGGTCGCCTGCAGTGTCTGGTAGGTGGCCGCCGGTGCCGTTGTCGCCTGCGGCAGCTGGATGAACTGCTGTGTGCCATCCGGATTGGTGGACACCGCAATGAGCTGTGGCTGCTGCTGCTGGGGCTGCGACAGGGTGAAGCCACCGCCCAGATTGGCGGCCAGACTTTGCAGGGAGTTGGCATAGATTTGCAGCTCGTCCGTTCCGTTGCCCGTCGCCTGGTGGTTCGTCGGCTGCGACGACAGGAAGAAGCCGTTGCCCAGCGACTGCGGCTGCAGCTGAAGCTGCTGCAGTCCCTGGAGTCCGAACTGGCCCAGGGAGCCCAGACTCTGGACCTGCGGAAAGGACGTCGTCTGCAGGTAGTTGAGTCCCCCCACATTTCCCAGCGTGGCAGCGGCCAGGGCCTGTTTCTGCAGCTCGTTCAGGCTCTCGGCGCTCAGCTGCTGGGCGTGGGCGTGGGCATGCTCCGACTCCGATTCGCTGGCGGACATCTGCTCGCAGTTGGGCAGATGCCGCTGGAAGGAGTCGTAGTTGCGGTACGTGCACTGGCACCGCTCGCACTTCACCTGCCCCGTAAACTGAGCCGTCGACAGGTTGCCGTCGCCCCCAATGATGCGAAATTCCGTGATGGAATCGTCCACGCCGTCCATTTGCATGATTCGCATCTTGGCGGGCTCCTCCCTGCCGCCTGCGCCCTCCTGGCCTCCGGACTTTTCAAAGTATCGCTTGGCCGCGCTCCACGTGAAGCTCTTGCTGCGCAGTCATGTGGATGTGGAGGCCGCCTCCTCGCTGATCGACTGCCGCCGGGAGACACCCGCCACGGTGGCCATCTCCTTCTTGGAGCGCTGTTGTTGGCTCAGGCTGAGCAGGACGCCCTCGGCCAGGTTCTTGGAGAGCTTGCGCCGCTTAATGGCCGCCACACTGTTGCCGTCCAGCTTCGGCCAGGCGCGCGTCTTGAGCACCTGCACCTGTGTGGAGCTGCGGGCGGCGGCGCAGAGCATGGCATCCTCCACGGGATTGCTGGCGGGCCAGCAGTTGCCGCCACTGCCACCGCCCCCCAGGCTGGTGTTCGAGTTGCGCGTGTCCTCGTCGCAGATGGGATGGGGAGGAGGCGCAGCAGCCGCGCCCTGCTGTCCCGCGCTGGTGCCGTCCTTGGACTGTTCGCTGATGGCAAACAGATCGGACTTGTCCGCCAGATCCTCGTACATGAAAATGTCCAGCATGGAGATGCCGTCGAGCAGCTCGTGCGGCAGATCCTCGAATATGGCATCCTTGATCTCCGGCGGCAGCAGATCTGCATTCTGTTGCGGCTCCTCCTCCGTATTCTCATCCGGCGGCACACACGAACTGAGATGCGGATGCGGCTGAGGATGCGGATACTCGCTCCAGCCGTCTGCCGCCCCATCTGTGGCCAGAAGGTCGCTGCTCCGCGCGGCCAAGCTGCTGTGCCAGCGGGCGATCTGCGCCAGTCCCAGCTGGACAACTTGGCCATTGGGATTCGTGTGATCCACCGTGTAGTTGCGTCCCACATCCAGTTGGGCCTGCAGCGTCGAGGAGCAGCTGTTCTGGATGGTGGTGCGCACCGTGTACTCGACAATCTTCCAGGGCTCCTTCGAGGACCAGTAGAGGCGGCTGCACAGGAAATTGATGGGCACCACCGCCTCGTAGGAGTCGGAGAAGCGCGGCACAATGGAGCCGAGCTGCCGCACCTCCAGTGAACCAATGTGGAACTGCACCTTCGACGGCTCAATCAGTTTCTTCCGCTTGCGGTCCAGCTCCACGTAGACGGGGCGGGACACCTCATAGTTGGACTCGTACGTGACGCTGGGCGAGCCATTGGCCCTGAGCGCATTGCCGTTCCTCGCATGCGTCGGACAGTACATGGACTTGTCCGTGAGGAAGGCGCACTCGATGCTCCTCGCGCAGGGATAGTGATAGTGCTCGCCGCACGAGCGCACATTGCAGCCAACGGTGGCGCCGCGATTACCGCAAACGGTGCACTTGATCATCCGGCCGCGGGCCACCGCACTGTGGACATTCTGCAGCGAGCCATCGATCTCCTCGAACACCTCGGCGGACCACATGGCGCAGTTTGTGTGCACCCAACAGTCGTGGCCGCAGTACAGCAGTCGTGCCTCCTCGCCGGAGAGACCCTCGCCGCTCTTGCGGCAAAAGAGACAGACGCGTGTGTCCAGGCGCATCTTGATGCCGCAACCGCTGCCGAGATCGTCCACCTCTTCGAGGGGTATGTCCAGCACACCCGAGCGCACCACCTGCGACGAGGACGAGTGATCGGCATAGACGGACGCGGAGGAGCAGGGACCCGCCTCATGTTGCTGCTGTTGCAGCTGCAACTGATCCTCATAGCGACTCGACTCGAACATGTCGTCCTCGAGGGCGTCCGTGCAGGCCTTCGTCTCGTTCTGGAACCAGGGGAACTGCTCGCTCAGCAGCTCCTTGTAGGCAATGTCCAGCTCGTCGCAGTGGCTCTGCTGGATCACCTGGCTCATGTCGTAGTTGAATTCCGCCAGCGAGACGTACGCATTTCCCGCAATCTTCTGCTTGATGTCCACCAGGCTGAAGGACTGCGACTGCGACAGCGGCTGTTGCTGCTGCTGCTGGCAGGTGCAGGAGCAGGACTTGGACGATGATGAGGATGATCTGCCGGCCTTAGCATTGTGCAGATTGATATTCCGGGACTGCTCCTTGAACTCGTAGACATCGTCGCTGTTCTGTGACTCCCCATCGCTGCCGAGGCCATTGTCCGAGCCGCTGCTAAACTGCAAAGCCTTCGGCTGCAGTTTGCCCTGCTGCCCGGCTGCTCCGCACGTGCAGCGTAGCTTCTTCCTGGGACTGAGCTTGAGTAGGGCGCACGCCTGTCGCGATTTACTGAGCAGCTTCAGCACACTGTACAGGCTGGCCTTGAACTCCTCCATCACCGCCTGCCGCCACTCGTCGGCCTTCAGGCGCGAATTGTCCGAGCGGCGGGCGCACTTCTTGCAAATGAACTCAATCGATTCGGGCAGGGTACTGAGCAGATTGTACTGCTCGTCGCTGAGGCCCTCGCACTTGGAGTGCACCCACTGGTTGCAGTCGCCGCACTCCATCATCTTCAGATCGAAGTCGTTGTCGTCGTAGCACTTCTGGCAGATGGGGCAGTAGTTGCCCTTTTTGCGCAGCTTAAAGCAGCCCGTACACATGGGCAGGTTACCCACGAATTTCGAGACTTTCGTTGTGCTGCAGGATTTGCATTTCAGGCAGTTCACGCAGATGAGGGGCCTGTCGGCGCCGAGCAGCCGCTTGCTGGTTCCCAAGCAGGTGCTGTGGTAGTTCTTCTGGCACTTTTGGCACTTCACCTTCGAGCCCGAGGACATGTTGCACGTGTAGCACACTGTGCAGCGGGGGCACAGCCAATTGAGGCGCTGCGTCAGCTGATTGAGCGACGAGTGGGCCGCACTCAGCGACGTCTCCAGCAGGCTGTTCATCAGCGTTGTGTCCTCGAACGAGCTGTGCTTCAGATTGTACTCGTCCTGCACGCAATACTGATGGTACGGCTCACAGCAGCAGGCACAGAAGATCAGCGGATCCAGACCCGTGGATCCGCACAGGAAGCACAACGCCCGCTGGGCCACCGTCTCGGTGACGATCAGTCCGAAGCCCGTCTGACACACCTCCGCCGGATCGTAGTTTTCCCAAAAGTCAATCGAGATGAGTGTCCGCTGCAGCTGCTGTTGCTGCTGCTGCTGGCGATCCTTTGCTCTTCTGCTGCTTGCCACGGCAGCAGCTGGCATAACGGACGACTGTTGGCTGCCGCTGCTGCTGCTGTTGGCGCCGCCTGTGATGATGTCCCCGTTCCTTGGCTTCAGGCTCGAGGCGGCGGAGGAGGTCACAGCAGCCGCATTTCTGGTTGTGACTTTAATGCCTGCTGTTGCTGACGCTGCACCTCCTCCTCCTGCTGCTCCCTTTTTAGCCTCTGTTTGAGTATTCTTGGCCTTGGTATCTTCACTGGAGGGAGACGTTGCCGTTCCCGTTGTCGTGCAGGTGGCACAATTATCATTTTCATCCGTCAGCATGGGAGCTGTCTTGTCTCCAGTTGCGCCAGACGATGATGGCACTGAAGGAGCATCGTTCTGTTGCGACTGCTGCTGCTGCTGCTGCTGCTGCTCCTCCTCCTCCTGATCCTCGCCAAAAATGGCCAAAGGCTGACCCAGGACTATGGAGGCACTGCGGCAGACATGCTTCACCCGGGGACCCTTCAGATCGATCCTTTGCCTTTTGAGGGTGTCCCCCCCTCCTCCGCCTTCCTCCGTTTGGCCACCAACGCCTGCTGTTCCAGTGGCCTCCTGTTCTGGCTGCTGCTGCTGCTGTTCATCCTTCTGGGCGGCTTCTGGGGCAGGCGTTTCCTCTCCTATAGATTTCTCGCTTTCCAGCTCCCTGGCCTTTTCCTTTTCCTTCTCCTGTTTGCTTGACTTTCGTGTGGCCTTTGTCTCCGGATTGGGACTTATTGAAGGCATCGTCTCTGTGGAGGTGGAGGCGGATGCGGCGGAGGTCACCTTCGGATCCGTCGCATTGCCAATCTTCAGGAACAAAGGCTTCTCAAGGATAGCGGGTCGCAGGAGTGGCATGCTGCCAAAGGTCACATTGTTCTCGGCCAATGGATTCGACTTGATCGATGTCACCGCCGACACTGGCGCACACGTCGCATCTGCATTCGATTTCCACTTGACAGAGGACGTCGCCGACGCCGCCGCCACCGTCGCAGACGAGGAGGAGCTGGAGGAGGATCCGCTGCTGCCAGTGGCACAGCTGGGCGTGAATCGCAGGCCTGCCACTCCTCCTGTGGGGGACAGCAATTCCGTTGCAGATTTCTCCTCCCTGGGCGCCATATTCGCTGGCAGAATGGCGCCCAATCGACTCCTGTGCGCCGCCGGCAGCTGGAACGTAACGAGGCACTTCTTCAGCCAGCAGGCGGTGCATCGTTCCTTGTAGAGCTTCTTAAAGTTCTTCAGCTGGCTGCTCTTCGGCGAGTGTATGCTGCAGGTGGTGCCTAGGGGGTGGAGATCGAACAGAGATTAGTTTTGCTTTGAGATCCCCTAGGAGAGACGCTTACCCTCTGTTCCCTTGCACTGCAGCTGCGTGGCGGCACCGGCAAAGGTGGCGGATGATGCACTGGAGCTCGAGTTGGCCGATATGGATTTCTTGGTCATCTTTGAGATGAATTTGCGGCACACATCGCACGCCACGATCCCGTATTTTCGCTCCTGGGCCACCTCCTTGCTGCTGACGGCTGTGCAGCACACAGCGCAGGTCGTTGGAGCAGCACCTGGAGCGAGTGGGCGATAACAAAGGATTAGTAAGGAAAGTTTGTGGGGAGAGGGAAGCTTCGTCGCCTCACCTGCCGCTGCGAGTGTCCCAAAGGACAGGCCTCCTGCTGGCGAAATGGCACTGTGCGGCACTGCTGTCGGCTTTGTGTCCACCTGGAACTGCAGACGTGGCTCCCAGAGTAGCTTTGTGCTGCTGCTGCTGCTGATGCTGCTGCTGCCGTTGCTGCTGTTGTTGTTGAGCTTCAGGCCGCCAAAGCCAGGAAATGTCTCCTTTCTGGAGGACAAAGAGGAGGCTTCCGCACCCAGGCCAAAGTAATTCTTGGGCTTGGCCTTGGGCTGTGTGGTCGCATGCCTGATGATGGCCCCCTCCTCGAGCAGCCGCTTGTTGGGCTTGATGATCCTCGAGGAGCGGGTGCTGCGCTTGGGCAGGACAAAATGTGTATCCATCACGAGTTGCTTCTCCTCGGATGAGCAGGAGGAGGAGGAGCCATCCTTTTCGTGCATCTCCTCGCCGGCACTCTTCTCCTCCGTGGCAGCCTCAGCGCTGTTTTCCTGCTCCTGCTCATCGTCCTCGTCCTGCTGCTCGTCGGCTTCATCGCTACCCTCATCCTCGTCCATGTCCTCATCCTCGGACTCATTCCGTCGAAAGGTGACGCCCCCCGACTCGCCCTCATCCTCCTCCATGGGCGCCCCAAAGGCACGCGACAGCCCGAAGACATTTGTGCTGGATCCCCCCGCTGGCTCCTGGCCAGCTGGCGGTGCCGATCGAAACTTGAGGGAATTCAGTTTATCGATGTTCGAGCTGCCATTGAGTATCGTGGAGAGAATGGAGGGCCGCACGATGCTCTCGCCGCTGCGGGTGTAGGCCATGGCACGGTTCAGCGAGTCCTTCTTCATGATCGAGACGAGGGGCGTGCGAGTGTCCGGATTGTAGAAGCGCTTCACCACCGATTTGTCGTCGCTCGTCTCGAGCACATTTCTGAATGTCACCGTTTTCTTTTGTTTGATGGGCGGTGCAGGTGCAGGTGTAGGAGCTGTCGCTGTGGCTGCGGCTGATGTTGATTTCGGACTGCCTGCTGCTGATCCTCCTGTTCCTGCTGATCCTGTTGCTGCTGCTCCATTTCCAGGTGCTGTTGCTGCTGCAGCAGCGATGGCCTCTGTGGCTCCTACTCCTCCTTCGCTGGGCATTTCGCTCAACCTGCGCTTCTGCAAGAGTGCGGGAAACGTTAAAGGGTGTTGCAAGCACAAAGGGTTCGGGGGTTAGAGAGCGGAGCCACAAATCAATAATTCATGCACTAACTACGTAGCAGGTAAAGGGGTAAAAGGGCGGATACGGAGCGAGGAATAGGCAAGGAAGGCAAACTCGCAAATGAAACTGAAAACGAAACAAGCGGAAAGCGGAAAGGCAGGCAGGCAGGCAGGAAAGCGGGAAAGTAGTAGCAGCAGCAAGGGGAAGTAAGGGCTGGGAGGGGTGACTCCCAGCCAAGGTTTAAGGCTCAAAAACAAGTTACTAAGTATGTGCCACCGAATGGGGTACAGACACACACCAGACAACGACAACGATACAGACACAGACACGAAACAGACACCACACACATGTGGCAGTTGCAAAGAGCGCTAAAACGTCATAAAAGCCAATTAAGCAGGTAAGCAGCGTGCAAGCAAGCAAGGTGGGTTGGGGAGGGCAGGGTGGGCCCATAAATGCAGTGCAAGAGAGGGGGAAAAAAGAAGGGAGTAAGGGAGGGGGGTGGCGGGGGCAGTGGTTACCCTCTTCTTTATTTACATTCTGCGAGGAAACATCAGCAGCAAGAGGGTTGCAGCACACGCAATCCCCCCCTCAGTCCAACAAAATCTGTGGCAGCTATCAGTAGGGGGCGAGGGGAAAGCAGGTATCAGGGGGTGGGGTGTGGGGTGTGGGTAGTGGGAAGTAGCAGTGGAAAAGCGGCTTAAACTTATTCATAACTAAAGCTAAACACAGAGAGCAGAGGGAGAGAGCAGCCACACACACACACACACAGACAGACACCAACAAACGAGACTTACCAATGCAACATCTTCGACCGATTCCAGCACAGACCTGGTGTTCCCGACTCCTCCTCCTCCTCCACCGTCTCCTACTACTGCTGCTGCTGCTGCCGCCGCTCCACTAGGTGAGACGCCGCCAGGTGGCAATGTCGCTGGGGGAGACACTGCCACAGCAGAGTTTGTAGAAGACGAAGAAGAAGACATTGCTGCAGAGCAGGAGGAGACGACGGGCACAGAGCTGCTCGCAGCGGCGGAGGCGGATACAACGGATGCAGCGGGGCAATTAAGTTGCAATTGTTGTTGCTGCTGCTGCTGGTGCTTCAGTTTCGATGTAGAGGGCAGCATCACCTCGCCTCGGGCCAGATTCAAGTTCTTGAACTTCTTGTTGCCCCCCTTGCGGGCACGCTGCAGCAGTGCACTGCTGACCACAAAGGGACCGGCCACGGCAACGGCGAGGGCGGGGGCTGCTGTCGTCTTCCTTTCGCCATTGTGGCTGCCACTGGCACTGTCATCGTCGTCATCCTCCTCCTCCTGGAGATCCTCGGCGTTCTCAGCGCCTGCACTTGCACTCTTGTGATGCGTCCCGCCACCTCCCTCCTCCCGCTGCCATTCACACCGCTGCCATTGGTGGTGCCTCCTGTCGAGCCATTGCTGCCACTGTTGCTGTTTGTGGCTGCAGTACTCGTGGAGGAGCTGCCACCGCCGCCTGTGCCACTAATAGAGGCACCGCCTGGGGCATTGTCGTCCTCATCGTTATCACAATTGTTGCCCTTCTCCCGCCCAGCCGCCGATCCAGCACTCTGTCCGGTCTGCTGTTGCGACTGCTGCTGCTGCTGCTGTTGCTCCGTCGTGGTTGCTTCGGAGGCAGCAGCATCTTCCTCCAGTTGCAGGACACTTATCCGCTTACGATTGATCGACTTTGAGGGTTTCCCGGGAAACTTGGAGCGGCCCATAATAGAGTTGTTTTTCCGCTTGTTTGTTGCATTTGCCTTCGATTGTTTGGGGGGGCTACTCGATACGGGTATCACTTGGGATATCGGAGCAGGTTGGCACTGCGCGCTTTCCTGGCTCCCACACACTGTACGAAAAGGGGGAGAGAGGGAGAGAAACACACGGTTCACGTGAGAGACGACACCCAACAGAAATACCGGTATTGCAGCAGTGCAGCAACGACAACAACAACAATGAGTATGAGTCCGTCCCCTCCTCACTCTGTAACCGAACCGCGCGCGCGTCTTTGGAATGCGTCAATTTTCCCCCCTTTCGGTGCGCGACGACGACGACGACTCGTTTCTGCTCGTTCCTGTTTCGGCTCTAGCTGCTCTGCACCTCCTTCTGCTTCGTTTCTTTTTTGTTTCTTTTATTTCCCCCACTTGCGTCTTGGTTTTTTTATTCGCGCGCGCTCCTCGTACCGTTCCTCGCTCCTTGCTTTGCGAATTTCGAATAAAGCCGAAGGTGACGTCAAAGCGCGACAACGCGTCAAGCCTCGGCTTTGTCTCTCTTTTCTCGCAAGATATATTTCCGCAGAAGGGTAAGGCAGGCATGCGCTGCACTCTCTCGCGGAGGACTGCCTTACCTTCGGGCTTATGTGTCTTGGTGGCAGGAGGGAGAGCGCAGAGCAGAGCGGAGCGCGCTAAAGGTGCAATTGCAGCTGCCTTTGTTTCGCTCCGGCGTTTACGTTGCCGCTGGCACGTCTTGCGTGACCACCAGCCACACACACACACACACACCAGCATGCATCACCTTTCCTACCACTAAATATACGCAGCAGATCAGCGCCCCTCAAAAAACAACTGCCCCCTGCTGCTCCTTGTAGCACGCGCGACACACCGCGCTCTCTCTCTCACTCTCTTTCTTTCTCTCTGTCTGTCACAGACTCCTTTTTAAGAAACTCTTGAACCTCTCTCTTATGCTCTGCTCTGCTCTCTCTGTCCATCCGTCCGTCCGTTCATCCGTTTGGTCTCTGTCGCTCTGTCCCGTAGACGTTTCATCGACGTTTTAAGTGGTTTTTCTACTTCAGACTTGAACTTTTTCTCTGCCAGGATTTTCTCGTTTTTGCATTGTTGTTGCTGTTGCCGCTGCTGCTGCTGCTTTTGTTTCTCTTTTCTATTTTTTTTTTTTTGCTGGAAATTGAAATTCTTACAGTTGTTGGCGTTGGGTGTTGTTGTTGTTGTTGTAGGCCACTATTAAGTGGTGGGTTTTTCCTTTATGACTGCCTTTTTACGACAGTTTTTTTTTTTGCTGCTTCTGCTGCTGCTGTTGTTGCTCTCTCTCTCGCTCTCGCTCTTTATGGCCTTTAAGGCTGGGTGACAGAAGGAGAGGAGTGAGAGAAAATTCTTCTTTTTGCGCGTTTAGTTTTTCTGCGTTCTCCGTTTTTGCTCTTCTTCGTAGTATTTACAATTTTCCACATAGCTGTGTTGCTGTACTTTCCGCGAAAAACTTCGCCTTAACTTCTCTGGTGCTGCTGCTGCTGTTGCTGCTGCTGGCGCTGGCTGTTGCTGTGGCAGAAGCCCGCGTTCTGGGTCTGCCCCTGCGGCCTCATCATGCTCATTATCACCATCATCCCCATCATCATTATCGGGATCGGATCATCATCATCAATGGTCGCATCAGCACTGGTCTACATCATTGCCATTCCTTCACAAAAACTATACCAACAAACGAACTCACACACACCGGCGCACAAAAGTCTGTGTGCCTCTGCTGTTTGGCAGAGTTTTCTTCAATCTGCAAAAATGATTGAGAGTGGGTTGGGGTTCGGGTTCGGGTTGGGGGTTGTGGGGGGGAGTATTTGTGGTTTGAGGGGTTGGTAGGTGTTGGGGAGAGAGAGAAAACAAAGTAGAAATTTATTAGTTCGCTTCGTCGCAGTTGGGCAAACACACAAGTTGAAAGTTGACTTTTGTTGGACAGTGTGAGAGTGGAGGTGGAGAGTGAGGTGTGTGGTGGTGGTGGTGGTGGTGTGGTGTGTGCGTGTGAGAGTGTGAATGGGTGGGTGGGTGTGCAATGATTATGTGTGCATGGATGTGTATGCGTGTTCGTGTGAGTAGATTGCAAGGAGCTGAAATGCTGCCTGACTGCTGCTCCTGGGGTGCCCTCCCCCTACCACCCACAACCCACCTATGAGCATGAGTCAGTGTGGTAATTGTTTTCCGTTGTGGATACCCTAGCCCAAGCGTACCCCATTAGTTGATTGATATGTTGGGTGCAGCACAAAGAAAAGGAAGAAAAGCTGGCGACCCTATAAGGGAACTATGATCAAAACCAATCTCAAATAATTGAAGATTTCTAAAAAGATCCTCTGCAGAAAACATGTGAGTAAGAGTTGCCAGGATCAGAGTACATTCAACAAAATTTCAATGAGAAAAATATGGGACTTTCCACGTAACTCAACCAATCTGAAGCAAATTCTATATGGGTTATGTTTCCCATAAAACTTCAAAAAACTTTTATTCAATTCAACACAACACAACCCACAATTCAATTGTGCAACTCCCACTGGAACCATCTGCTCCTTATGGATATCTAACTCCCACTGGGACCATTCCCTGTTAAAGGGTATCTACTATTTCGTTATTCGCTTGCCACGTTTATTGCTTGTTATTTTTTGTGTTGTGTTGTGTTGGTTTTTATGTGTGTTTTACTCCTGTTTCGAGCCAAAGGTGTTTCTTGTCAGTGGTTTATTTAGTTTTAGTTTAGTTTGCTTTGGTTTTAGTTCGGTTGGCTTGTTAGTTAGTCAATCTTGTCAACTGTACTCCACAGTCGGCAGGGGAGTCGCCGGCCCCCAGTCGTCGGGCAGCAAGTCAATTTAGTTACATTTTGTATCTGTATGCATGACTGAACTGAACACAGTGGGCCGGAGCAGTGTGTGCACTCCCCCCCAACCCTGACTGAGCCGTGGCCGGGACAAACAGGTCAGCGTGTGTATGTGTGAACCACCCACTGTACGTGAGTCGATTTCGATGTCTCTGGCTCTGGCTCTGACTCTCGACTCTGTCGCTGTCGCTGTCTCCGGTTATGTGTCAGTTTGCTGCGATTTGTGATTTCATTTGTCGATGTTCCTCTATTTTTTATTTAATTTCCTTTTAGTTGTTGCTTTTGTCGCACTGTGTAGTGTCTTTATGGCCCGAACTGTTGGACGGTCGCACGATTGGCATGATGTAAGCCGCGGGGCTAAGCTTAATTGGATAGCACTCCTCCGTATATTGGCATAGCGATTACACTAATTGCCGTTGGCCGTTAGCTGGTGCCGGTGCCGGTGCCGGTGCCGGAGTTGGCTCGAATGTGTGGCGCACGGATTGAATTGGTTATTGAATATGCATAAATGAATAATTTGCATATTCAATTGATAATCATTCGATTCGCATTGATGATTGAAAGTGTAAAAAATTAAACACTTGATTCTAAAGATCTTAATAGACTGCTGCTGCCTACCTCCTCCTCCCCCAAGCCCAATGACGCAATTATTTATGGCCTTTGGATCAGATTTACTTATGGGATATGCGGTTCTATCTATGGTTCCATGTGGTGGCTAGCCTCTACTACACTGCGATTCAAAAGTATATGACAGTTGTAAGATGACACACTTAAAGCAGAACCCATTTGAAACGCTTGAATTGTTCTACATGCAAATAACTGATTGAAGAAGATATTTTTTTCCATTTGAATATTCACCTCATTCCAAGACTTCATTTATTAACTGCCATACAGCACTGAAACGCACTGTCTGTTTAAATGTCTGTTCCACAATAAGCAATAAATAATTAGATATTTCCAACGACAACAGTAAAACTGCAATATTAGTATCTATTTAATGGCGACACACAAAAGCCCAACAAAAGCTCAAGCACAAAGCAAATAACATGACATAACAAACTAAAGGTTAATTCTCTCAAGCTCAAAACAATTGTCAACAATTTAATACTCATTCACGGGGGCAGAGGCGGGCAGGCAGGCAGGCAGGCAGGCAGAGAGGCAGGCAGTCAGAGAGGCAGGCACTAATATTTAGTTGAATATTCCGACTAGAAGGATACCCCTCATCGTTCGATTGCGATCCATTTTTTGGTAGATATAGATCACAGGCGCATATAAAGCGTGTCAATATTTGAAGAAGAAAAATGTAAACAGTACGCACAGAAAATATGTATGATTGATCTTGGAGTTCTCCTACAGATCCAGGTGTACATGATGTGTATGCCTGTTACATGCAATATCCTGAATACAATATACCCTATTGTTCTCAACGATTTACCAACCAGGTATAAACACTCGCCAACAAATTGCACACAAATTGGGCCTGTGAAACACAAACACACACAGGCACACGCACACGCACACAAAGGCACAGTGGCAGACACAAAGCAGTGGCAGGCAACAGAATGCTTAGCATTAGCACGCTGTGTGTTGACATCAATTAACTAAATCGCTTTAATTATAGTATGCCACCAGCAGCAGTCCCAGGGCCAGATCAAACCAAGGCAAACCCCACCCAGGAGAGAAGGATTTCAGGAGAGAGAGAGAACAAATCTGAACAAATCAATAAAAGGCCGCACAAAAATGACAAAACGCAAGCTGGTCCCAAAATAAGAGACGCGCAAAACAAAAATAAAGAGTGAATTTTGATGGGAGACTGCAATTTGAATGACACTGCCTCTGCCTGTATGACACTCACTGTCTCCGATGTATCTGTATGACACTGACTAGAGGTGCGCCGTTATGAATTTGGAATCTATGACTCCAAAACGATTTGAATGTGAAATGCAAACTAATTTGATGGCATTGTATCAAGCATACTCCAATATTTGATAAGATATTGAGACTTTTATGCTGATCAATAAAATGGCAATTAAACTTAAATATGAACTTGTCAAAGTGAAACAAACTGGTTTGTAATTAATCCTGTTTGTAAAAATAAATCGGTAGCATAATCTTAAAAGCCGCAGATTAATCTGGAAAGTAGTAGAAGCAGTAATTCAGACTGATTATCTCAAATTGCTTTGATGGCTGTACTCTTTTAATGAATTAATCCAATTGTAAGTGTCATATGGGCCTGAAAAAGAGTCACGCGAGAGCCGGGAAGGTGGGCAGGGGGAGTGGAAGAGGTGGAGAGATGACAAGCAACAATCTCCAACGGCGCGGCGAGCCCCGAGAGCTGGCCAATTCGAACGCATCGTCATCGACATCGACAGCGACATCGAACCGGCCCGAACAGGCAGGCGGCGGCAGTAGGCAGAGCAGACAGCCGACCAAACACGACGAGGCCGCCGACACACACACAAAACCCCTCACAGAGACACAGAGAGACAGAGAGACCCACTCACACACCTTTAATTTAATTGCCATCAATTATGGTAAAAAGATTAAGAAATCAAAACAAGCGCAAAAATGTACAAAAACATGAATAAGAAGAATGGCAAAGGCAAAATGAAACGGAATACACGCAGACACACAGAGACTGGCAGACAGACAGGGACAGGCATACCATATCCCCCACTCATGCCCCTATAACCAACACCCCACCAAAGAGGCGCGCTCATACAACTTGCAAATTGCGAGTAATTGAGAAGATTAAAGTCAAGCAGCATGCCAGAGGAGAGCAGACAGCAGGGCAGCGCAAGAAACCAGAGGGAGACAGCTGGAAACGGAGACAGAGAGCAGAGCAGGCCAGGTAACGACGATTGAAAACCGAATCGACTGCCGAACGATTAAGAGCCATAAACACGAGCACGACAATCACAGATACAGCAGTAGCAGCGGGCCAGCACACCCCCTCCCACTCACAAACACACACACACACATACAGCACAGCACAGGCACCCAATAGACAACTATCTGCATACACTCGCAAGCTCACAACAAACACGACTGACAAGTTGAGCACCAACGAAAAAAATCGAAGTCTGCCCCAAACGAGAGCGCGACACAGCTACATAAAATATGTAAATTTGTATGAAATTATGCAAAAATGCCTTAAATACATGTGCAACAATAAGAGGCAGGATAAGAGCACAAGAGAGAAAGCCAATGGCCAGAAGCTGAAGAAGAAGAGAGACAACACAAAACAAGCAACAAATGAGCTTGGCGCTCCCCTTGAAGAGCGATGGAGATGGAAAGAAAGAGAGCAGCAACCTTAAGAGAGCAGAGCGCAGCACATGGCTCCCCCAACCCCAACAGACAATAAGAGGGGAACCATGAATGAGAGAGCATGCGGGGGTGTGTGCGCTCACTCGTTCGTGTTTCGTGTTTTGCGTGCGTGTGTGTGTGTGTAAATCAAAACACGCAGCAAAAGGTGAAACATGAAAAATGTGCGCGCCAATAAAATGCAAAAGGTGTGAGAGAGCATTGGCGCTGGTATTGCTGTGGGCCATTAAAATAGAGTATCTCTCTGGGCGTTTAATGAGCAGAATTAAGAGTTGAGCGTGAAACGCAGTTTGATGATGATGATGAGATGTCCAATTTGCCACGAAACACGAAACAGCAGCCGAACTAAATACGTGATAGAGTGTGTGTGTGTGTGTGAGTATTGGGACATCTGTTTCGTCGTAGTATTAGTGGTGTGCGGTGGTGGGTAAGGTAACCCAGTTGGCCGCTGCACAGCGTCCTCCCCTCCCCTAACCACTTTCAACAAGAACTAACGAAAACTAATATTTTGACGAGGGGTGCTCAAAGACTTGGTGCTGATGCTGCTGCTGCAGCGGTGATCAGTGGAGCGTGAAAAGTGCACCGGAATCAGCATAACGGTCCACTGGCCTGCTGCTCCTTCGGACTACCCCAGATTTATTGATTCTTTGAAAGACAAGGCACATTTTTTAATATGCGCAATTACTCATTTTACGCCTCGAATGTTATTTGGCGCGTAGTTTCTCACGAACTTAAAGTCACACACACACACACACACAGGCACACTCTCTCACAAGATTTGGAATTTGCCTTTCGATAGCAGCAAAAATGGCGTCAACATCAGATATACATATGTATATGTACATAAATACACATTTATTTAGTAATTATTCAACAACAACAAAAACAACAAGCAGCAGCCATCGATCGTTTTAGCGGTCTGCCGCTGTGATCGTTTCTCATTTTATTGTATAATTTATTAAAAGCTTCAACGACAGCAGCAGCAACAGAGGCAGCAGAAACAGCGGCAGCAGATCAATTTTTAGTTATACAAACACTTGGCCCTGGTGTGCGTAAGCGAGAGGGAGAGGGTCAAGTAGACGACAGTGGGAGAGCGCTTCAGAATTTAAGATTTCAAGTACCTTATAAACGACAGCATTCGCCTGATTTTGACAGTAATTAACTCGGTTCAGATCACAATATCAAGTTGATGTAATAGGAGCCACATAATAATAGATCTGCTTAATGAACCTTTCCTTAACCGATCAAAATTATCATTATTCTTGCTGCAGCAATCATGTGTGTGCTGTCTCGTTTCGCCAGTACCTTAATTGAGGCGACCACAAAAACAATTAGCTTGCCAGAGCAGCACAGCAGCACTGGTCACATTAACTGTTATTTATGGATGCTGTGTCTTGCGGGTGGGCTTGGGCTTGGGCGTGTGCGAGAGTGAGTGGGTGCGACTAACGTGTACCGTGGAACCTCTGATTTGGTCATAAGGTAACTGTATTTGTTGTACGACGAGTGGGCAGGCTGCTGTCTGCTCAATTTGCATTTCACCTTTGCATTCCAGCGGTAAATCAACAATCTAAAATCTACTCACTAAAAGGTGTACGTACGGGTGTTAGTAGACATGTATGGATAATGGATAATGTATATGGATATGGATGATGGGAATGTGTGTGTGTTAGAAGTCAAATCAATATCTACGTGCACAATACAGGGACCGACTGGGGACTGACTCATCCGCCAGTCCAGTCGTATCATCCGGATCTCTTTAAATTACCTTTTGCTCAGGGTAGGCAGGGGGGCTGCATTTAATATATATCCGATATCCAATTTAGGCCGATTTCAAACACTCTTTTATCCGTGTAATGCACAAAACAATCACAAAACAACACCATACACAATGAGTGTGACAGGGACAGAGAGGATTGGGGGACGACGAATGGCGATTTTTCGTTTTTATTTTCGTTCACTTATTTCTTGGTTTTTGCTTTGGCTTTCACATTCGCCGAGCGACTCTCTCTCTATATCACAAAACAACACCAACACGAACACAAATGCACGTATACAAAGACCGACAACTACTATTGCTCTCGTTTACGCTCTCTTGCTCTCTTTCGCGCCCGCGCGTTTCGCATATACACACACAGCTATAGATTTGAGGCTGTGTGCGTGCATGTGTCTGCATGTATGTATTTTTACGACGATGAAAAAATGCCTGCTTCTTCTTCTACACAAATCAGGTTTGCATTTTTGATTTTGGATTTTCACAATTTCTGGCAATTGTGCGTTTTAAATTCAATGATATTTCACCATCAGACACTGCCTGCAGCACTCACACACACAATTCACATTAGTTTTACAATTATTATGGATATTTTCAGCATTTTAAACGAGCGTTTTACAAGAGAGCTGTCAAATAGAGCTGGTACTATCGAGGGCACTAGTATCGATATTTTGCTGTTAGCCTCTACTATCGATGGTATTGAGTGACAGTATCGAATGTTTTTTTCAAAAAATTCAACGTTGATTTTCCTCGATTTTGATAATCCGTTTAATATTACTAGATAGTTGGCCCTCTCATCCCTAAACAAATAATTTTATCCGATAGAAACATAAATTTTCTAAAAGATTGGCAAGCTTTCAGAAGTCCTTTTTATTGGATTATTTACATATTAAGGTTCAATCAATAACAACATAAAACGAATGTGAATTCGTTTTTGTGGCGCTGCCAGACTCGTGCAATTCGTAGTTGCTGCGGGCTGCCATACCATGATATTTGTGATATGAAATTCGTCGATTTTGATATTCCGTTTAATATTACTAGCTAGTTGGCCCTCTCAGCCCTAAAAAAATTATTTCATCCAATTCCTCAATGAATTTTGTTTAGGATTGGCTTTATTTTTAATGACATTGTTTAGATAATAGGGTTCAAACAAAAACGGCCAAAGCATAAAACGTAAATGTTGACTAAATGTGACGTCAGTGTTGCTGGTCAGCCAAGTTTCGTCTATGCGTACAGACCTTTGTATACCTTATTTCTTTTAATTGATGTTAAATGTTTTGGTCCAAGCTCCATTGAAACATTATTTATGATTTTATCCTAGATTGACATGTTTTTTACCTATATATGCACATGTTTGTGTTTTATACATACATTTATCCCGGTTCTGATACCTATTATTGGTAACCCATGAGCTGCAAAATTTCGTTGATATCTTTTAAAACAGAGACTGAGTAGTTTCTGCATTAATTGGAGCCTTACAAACAATATCTCAAGTCCATAATATCCATTTTCCCAAGGTATGCAGATTGTTGCTCATTCCGTGCCAAAGTTGCACAACAAGGCTGCCTCTTCATTTCCCCATGTTGCTGAATTTTTTTCCCATACAAATCAAATGTATCTTACGAGAACGCGTATGGAATGACGCAACAATGAATCTTCATTCCAAATGCGTTCCCGTAAGATACATGTTTCTCACACCACGAACCGCTCTCTTCACCTCTGAAAAGAGAGCAAATTTTGAAACGCTCTCCGGACTCATTTCTGTGTTTAAATTGTGAGCCACTATCGAGAGTATCGATATTTTGCTGCTAGCCTTTACTATCGATGGTTTTGAAACTATCATGATAGTATCGAGCTACAGTCGTTTCGCTTTTGATATGTTTGGATTGGCTGCCATAAAATACGAAGAAAAGTTTTTAGAAGAAAGCAAAGCAAATAAAACAAACTTGATATAATGTTCATAAATGGCAAACATAGATATTGTATTTTGAAGATATCGATAGGTGGCATGATTTAGTTCGCAGCAAACACGCGAGATGGCGCTTTTGGAACGTTATTCAAATATCTGTCAACTGGCCAATAAGAGGGATTTGTTAATTAAATTCAATGAACAATTAAAGCGTAGCTAAGTTATTTAAAGAGGTCATCTCTCTGGGCCGGTGTCATGGCCTCAAGTTTCAAGCGAACCGCATCACGGGCCCTCTCTTTTGCGTCCGCTATGCGTTCCACAAATTGCGGTATCATTCTCTCGACAGTTGCGTGGATCCTTTGTGTCGATGTGCGGACCGACGGGTTGAGGGCGAAGCAGCTCATAGCGTTGTGCAGCATCCGGTGTATCTTGGTCAGGAACCAGTCCCAGCCCTCAAACTGGCGCCCCGCCAACAGCGTCTCCAATATACCCCAATCCAGAGTCTCTTCATCGTGGTCATATTCCGAATTTTCACCAAACTTCTCCCAATACTTCGCGTTGTTGAATGGCCAAGCGTCACGCCTCCCACGCAAAAACGTCAGCAACGTCTTGCTGTGAGTGCGCTCGATCTCGCGATCTAATGGAATCAGGTCAACCTCTGACCCCTGTGGCTCGGCGATTTCGGACTCCGATTCGATTTTCACTTGAATGCCGTAATTTTTAACGACGTTTTGGTACGGAAGCGAGACCAATGTCTCCGAGCTAGTAGCATACTTTTTAGCTTGAGCTCGTGGACCTGGAGGGCGGCCACGACCACGACGGGTCGTGGGGACGGGCCTGATCTGTGTCCACTGGGACCGATCCGGATATTGATTGGCCTGGAACGCAGGCGTTGGAATGGCTGCCTTGCGCTGGCCCTTTTCCTCGGGCTCCTTCTTAACAGGAGCCTTTGGCTGTCGCTGTGGCTTCGGCGCAGGGCGCATTGGACTTGCTGTCTTACGCTGGCGCTTGGGCTTGGCCTCCACCTTAATCTCGTTGTGCAATTCCGGTTGAAGCTTCTCCATGCGTAGCCAGAAAAGTTCGCATAGAGTGACAGCGCTCTGGAAGACGGGCGAATCCGGACTGTTGAAGATGCGGCAGTTTTCGAAAATCAATCTCATGTCTTCCAGCAGATCTGCCCCACCCCAGTAGTATGAGTATTCCAGTCGCTTCTTGATGGTATTCAAATCCATGGGACTATGGATTATCGTGTGGTATTCCTTGATGCCCAGCCTCACGGCATTCACGGGATGGCGAAAGTGCAGCGAGGACTTGTCGCGCAACATCACATTCACCACGGTCCTCAGTTTCAGCAACAGATTGGTGAACCTTCCCTTGCGATTGGGGGGCGGCATCGCCGCCGGCTGCACGATCCCATTCACCGGATAGACTTTGGGCTCGTTCCGTGGCGGCCTCATCTCAAATTGGTTCTGGAGCGCGAGCACGTTCAGAGCGCTCTGAAAGTCCTCGATCTGCTTTTCATTCATTTTCTGTGCACGGAGTGGAAAAATAAGATTTTAGTAGTTATTTCTTGCGCCGTTTAGACGGGGCTTAAAGCATGCACGCAAATTAGATTTGGCTCACGGGCAAACTTTCTGTTAACTTGCTCTAAAGCTATACACCTCCCAGCGTTTAGAGAATTGGTAGTACTGCGGTGTATGTTCGTACAGTGTGCTCCTAAGAAAAGTTTCGAGTCATGGCTCTGGAAAATGGCAGCGCAGACATACGGAAAATTACGACAGACAGACTGATGGGACCAGCACATTTTATTAACCGCAAAACTCATATGTACAGTGCACTTACACGTTTTTTCTTACTGTTTGTGGTTGATTTAAAGAATTGAGTTAAGATTTAACTATAATTTCAGAATAATTTAGCACGAAATGCAGGAACAGAATAGGTTTTTTCAGAGGCCACTTTTCTTTTTTATGACAGTCATTTGATTCAGAGATGACTTGTCACTTAATCGATACTATAAAGATATATATCATATCGATTTTCAGTGTTGAGTAATAAAAAAATTATGCAATACGGTCCTAAGCTTTATTTTTCGATACATTTGTGTTTACCAAAAACTATTATACAGTGTTAGTACTCCAGTAATACGTATAGGGTATACGTATAGAATGGTTGAAGAAGCGTAATCCACCATATCCATATCCGTCTTTGACCAATTGATCTGCCACAGATGTAACACATTATAGCCAGACCATGCCGGATGTTTTCAGTGAGTAAAATGTTTTCGTACTGGTTGCTACTTCTGTGTTGTGGTGGCCTTGTGGCTGGGGAGGAGCTGCACTATGCCACATCGACACGGCACCTGGCCTTCCTGCTCCAGGTGGAGGATGAGCTGCTGGCGCTTGTGCGTCAGTATGCGGCGAAGCTGCAGCAGAAGGTGCACACGATGAGAGTGTAGGTAAATGCATTTTGGCATTGAATTCGCTCTATCCGCAGATGATTTCTTGCAGGCTGCAGGCCGAGTGGATGGTCAGAAGAGTGGAGGCCAGAGCAGATCCTGTCAGCTACGTGGCCAATCCTCTGAGAAGTCTGCCCCTGATGCGCAGGATGCACGAGGATGCGAGCAAGCTGCTGGACTTTGCACGCCTCGATGTTGGTCAGGGTGAGTAACTAGACTTGGGGGGATCATCCCCCCCTCCAGCGGTGCTGACAGGTGAATCTGCGTTGCTGTTTTTAGAGCCCTTTGAAACAGCTGGCGGAGTACGAACTGGGTGCGATCACCGAACTGGATCTCAAAGAGGCGTCCAGTGGATTGCTGCGCATGCAGCAGATCTACGATATGGATGAGAGGGACATGGCACGTGGAAAGCTGCGCCACAAGCAATACAAGTGCGTTTGTCTGCGCATCCAAGCCACACGCACACGCACACGTTCCAATCCTTTCCCTCAGTTCCAGATTGAGCGCCGCAGATTGTCTGGCATTGGGCGCACATCTGGAAGATCAGCAGAGGGGACCTCTGGCCAGCAGGTGGCTGGAAGTGGCCCTGGAGCAGTACGAGGACAAGTGGGAGCCCATTCACAGGCTCCTGCAGACGGGACGCTCTCAGATCTGGCAGCAGCTGGGCCTGACGCGAATCATGACACGTGGGTTGAGTCCCAGAATTGGTTGAGTCATTTAATCAGCGCTCCTCTCTCTCTCCCCAGACGATCTCCACGGTAGCCATGCTGCCTTCACAAAGGCCGTGGAGCTGGCCAGCGAGGGGGAGGACGTGGCGATCGCTCGCCATCTGGCCGACAACCTGGGCCACCAATTTGTGCACCAGCGCAACTGCCAGGGCAGGAGCGGACTGCCAGTGCAATCCTCGCTGCGCTGCCACTATGCCGCCGAGGGATCCGCATTCCTGCGCCTAGCCCCACTCCGGATGGAGCAACTCAGCCTGGATCCCCTGGTGGCCATCTACCACGAGGTCGTCTCTGCCGCCGAACAGCAGGATCTGATGCACCTAAGTCGAGCCCAGCTGAAGCGCCATCGGGGCGAACGGTACGACAATGTTCGCACATTTGCGAGTGCTGAGGTGGCCGAAAATGCCACGCCCACTGTGCAGCGACTACATCGACGGCTGGAGGATATTACAGGACTCGATCTGGCAGCCAGCGAGCCGCTGAGAGTCTTGAACTACGGCATTGGGGGGCAGTACTACATCCACGAAGACTGCGTACAGCCACAGGTACAGCCCCCGCCGGCACTTGCTACGCGATCTTTCTTACTGAAATTTATCTTTAACAGCCGCACGTGGAACCCTTTCCGAAGGAGTACCGCCTGGCCACCGTTCTGCTATACGTGAGTCGCTAATTTTGTGTTGCTTTCCCCGATTGAACTGCATTTACTTGCCCTTTGATGTGCTCAGCTCAGTGATGTACGCCTCGGCGGCTACACATCCTTTCCCGTTCTGGGCCTGGGCATCAGGCCCAGCCGCGGCTCTGCCCTGGTCTGGCACAATGCGAATAATGCCGGCAACTGTGACTTTAAAGCGCTGCACGCTGCCTGTCCCGTGCTGCTTGGCACACGATGGGGTAAGATTCAATGCGACTCGTCTTAAATGTGGAACTCCTCTCGGTTAACTACCATTTCTCAACCCCAAACAAAAATAGTCGCCAGCAAGTGGATCAGTGGGTCAGGCGGCCAGTGGCGCGGGAAACCCTGTCGGATGTGAGGGATACACACACACACACACACACACACACACACACACACAATTCCATTCAGCTTTTCCTTCTTGTTTGACTTTTTGTATTTAATTTTTTTGTTGTCTTCTTTTTTGCGATAATTTATTCAATAATTTTGTCGTTATTTATATTATGATAATAAATTTTATGCACTATTTTATAGTATTCATATTTAATTTATATGCAATGTAACATTATGTTTGGGGGAGGGGGTGGTGTGGCGAATGGGGCTGGGGCTGGAGCTGGGTATCCAATTGTCCACTTTTGATATTTCCGTGCAATTTCGCAATTGCGAGGTGTAGCCAGTGCCAGGGGCCAGGGTCCAGGTCCAGGGCCTGGGTTTGCTGGTAATGGTGGGAACAACGCGATTCCTGATACGTATGCAAATGATATCTGGCGCAGGACGGCGCCCTAGGCAGTATATGTATATGTATATGTATATGTTTGTTTGTATGTATGTTTGTATGTGGCGAGGGATATACACTAAGGAGACAAGAAACGCAGAACACAAAACGCAGAACGCAAATGGTAATGGAAACGCAAACAACAAGAATGCAGGCGATAGATGTCGATGTCGATGTTGTAGTCGATGTCGATGTCCGAGGGAATCGTGTAGGAATACTTGATTGCCGGCTCCTTATTCAGTTTTGATATCACGCTCCCCCAGGCCGCAGTCGCAGCCGCATCAGCAGCAACATCAGCATCAGCATCCACAGCAGCTGCCACGTTGTGTGCCTCCTGGTGGCCACATTGCGTGCCGCATCCTCGAGACCTGAGATACAGAGACGGATACAGATACAGATAAGAGATAGCTGCCCCGCGAATGGCACTCCATTTTTCTCTCTTACCTCCGATGTAATTGAGATGATCATCGTTGCTGGCCGCGGCACCAGGATGTAGCTTGATTTCTGCAATTTACAAACAAACAAAATACGGCCCGCCCAAAGGACCCACACACGACCACAAATGAGTAAGGGGCAGGGAGAGGGCTGTGCAGAGATTGCGTATACGCACCGTATAACCGCAGCGTGCCTTCGGCACGGCCCAGCGAGTTTGTGCTGACGCAGTGATAGGTGCCCACATCGGAGGGCGAAAAGGAACGCACCACCAGCAGCATGACCCCGCGATAGCCATCGCGCCGCTCCGTTATCCCATACTTGGGCCTGCAAAAGGGGGGGAGGAATGCGATTCAGTGATTCAGGGAGCGAGCCATAAATGTTGGGTTGCCTCCTCCAGTTGCCTCCTTACCCATCGAGCAGCATTTCGGGCCCTGGCGACCCAGACTCCAGACTCGCTGTGGAGACGCTGGCGAACCCATTCGAGGTCCGCGCCCCCTTCAGCCAGTAGGAGACGGGCGAGGGCGAGGCCTCCACCTGGCATTCCAGCTGCACATCGGAGCCCAGCGGTGTGCCAAGCAGTTGGCTGGGCGCACGCACCATGGGCGCAACTGAAAGAGAATGGAAAATACTATTATATTATAGCCAGGGCTTAGATAATCGATTACTTACACTGCACACTGAGCGACACGCGTTTGCTGACTGCCGGCGGAACATCATTGGAGGCAATGCACAGGTAGGCGCCCATCTGGCGCCTCTCCAAGCGAAGCAATCTCAATGAAGAGCCATTGTACGACTCCACTGTTGAGCAAGCAACACATTCATTAAAATATCAAACAAAAGATGCGAGTACAGACCTTTCATCAGCTCACGACTGCCTGGCTTTCGTATGAGTATCATTTCGCCATCCTCCCGGCGCCAGATAACGCGGGGCAGAGGATTGCCAGTGGCCTTGCAGGTGAGCGTCGCATCCTCACCCTCCTGCACGGCCATATCAGCGGACGAATCCTCATTGATGATGTCGGGTGGGACTGATAGAGTAAGGCATATGAATATATGAGAGAAATTATCTAATAGCAAGGCAAACCTTGAACATCGATGCAACCAACTTGCTTCTTCATGGGACTCGTGTTGATTTGGCACATGTAGCAGCCACGATCGCTCTCACGCAGCTTGCTGATCTTCAGTTTCCATCTGGCAATGCACCAAAGGATATAGTTAATCCCCAAATATAAGCTAAATATCTTTCTCCACAACTTACGTGTGCATATCTTGATGCATGACACTGATCCGCGCATTGTGTGTAACCACGCGTCCTTGCAGGGCCAACACAGTTTGATCGGAGGCCCTCAACCAGCCCACCTGTTTGGAGTGTATCTTAAGTGACCTTTCAACTCTAAAGAGATTTGCAAAGCTCACCTTATTCTTGCCCAGATTTCGTACCGAACAGGCGAGTATGGCCTCGCGTCCAGCTGGATATGTCACATTGTTGATGAAGCCAATGAACTCCGGATCGGGATCCAATTGGGAATTGCTCTCTGTGGGTATATGGTAAGGGTGTGTGTGTGATCAAAATAACTATCTATATCGCTCTATATTTATATTCTTTTCTGCATTGATAAAAGGTTTCCCCTCTGTACACATTATTTCGCTTTTTTTCCCCACTTACCGTGATGCTGATTCTGTGCGACGGCATTGCCGCATTTTGTGGCCATTATCAAAATGACAAACAGTGCCGGCGATAGCAGTAGCTTCTCCATATTGTTGTTGTTGTTGTTGCTGTTGCTGTTGTCCTTGTTTTTGTCGTTGTGGTTCAGTTATTTGCTGCAGCAGCAGCAGCAGCAGCTGCTCTCTTCCAATTTTCTCTTACTATTTCTCGCCTCTCTTTGTTTTTGTGTGTTATTTTATGGGTATTTTAGTTGTTTTTTTGCCTGTTTGTTGTTTGGGGTCTCTCGTGGCAATTTTCTATTTTCTATTTCTATTTCTATTTGCATTTGAATGCGAATTTCTATTTTCAATTGCAAGCCTCGATTGCGATTTCTATTTACCGCGTGTTTGTGCCAATTGGACTTTGATTTCCAGCTGCCTGCACCACATCCATAGTATTGCCACCCGCTGCCGCTGCCGCTGCCGTTGCCGTTGCCGCAGCCACTGACATCTGCAAGTAAACAGAATGTGAGCAAAAACATCAAAATCAAAATCGGAATGAAAATCGCAATGGGGTATAGGGTAGGGAAGGGTAGAGAGGTAGCGTGGTAAAGGGGAATCAGGGGAGAATGAGAATGGGAATCGGAATCATCGGTTTAAATTTATTTCAACGATAAAGTGAAGGCGAAAAACAGGAATCGAGCACAAAAGCCTGTTCAATTTGAGTGCACCAAACAGTGGGTGGGGTGGGGTGTGGTAGGGTGGGCTTGCTGGGTGGTGGCCACTGCCTCCGGGTTAGTGGGGGCGTGGACACGCCCATCGCTAACTTGATTATCAAGCGTTGCAACAAATTTCACGTTTTACGTTGCCTGCTTTTAGGAGCATCCAATATGGCTGCCGGGTAAGCTCAATCTCTCTCTCTCTCTCTCTCCCTCTGTGCCTTTCTGCCCCGTTTTTCTGGTTGCTTTCTCTCCGCCTCAACCTCGACACAAAGTAAAAGGCAAATGCAATTTTCAACACAAACAAAAATTTATGACTCGACAGCATCCTTGGTCCGTCCGTCTGCCCGTCCGTCCGTTCATCCAGGCCAGGGCCCCGTTTCACAAGTTGCAATAAAAGAAAATCCCCCTGCCCCCCTGCACCCACCCGCTGCACCGCACTAGCACCAGCGGAACACGGAAAAGTGGTTAAAAAGGCGGCAGAGGTGCAAAATATGAATGTAAATATTAAAAAAGTTCCAAGGCGCAGAAACTAACGAGGTGTTCGCTCATTTGTAGCTGAACACCCCCGCCGCTCTCCACTCCCCAGCCTGGCCACAAAACTCTGATCCCCTGCACACTGTAAACCCCCTAACCCCTTTTACATCCTGCCACATTTCGACGCGCTGTAATTTAATTTCAGTGTGAAATTGAGCGCTCTCCTAATAGTAAATTTGCACTAAACCAGTTAGCAAGTCTCCTCCCACGCTCCGGCGCTGTCTTGCAAAACTTTTGACGAGGTGTCAATGCGATGCCCCGAGCACGACGGCGGCGCCACGGAGCTTCGATGCGGAGCATCATGCTAGTAGATTGTCAGAAGAAGAAGGAGGCGCTGCAGCTGCAGCTGGAGATGGTGACATTCAAAAGGCGGAAATGTGATTTACTTATTAAATTAGAGTTGCAGAATGCAACCAGGGTTAGCTACGACAAGGGGGGGTTGCACTTAAACTTGTAGATGGAACAACTTGCCGGAGGCCAACAGAGCTCCTTGGACTTGATGCATGTAAGCGGGGTCGGGCTCGGGATATATGCATCATTCTTCGGTTCACCTAAGTGGATTAGCTTATGGCTATTCAATTTAGTTGTTTTTCACCGATCTTTTGAGCTTATTGATTACGGAGCCACAGAACGTACTTTAAATATAGAATCCAAGGATTATCAGAAATATTTTGGATGGATTTTCACTCTCAAAGATATATTTAAGGCAGTTAATTCATAAATTAGTAGCACGAAATCCATCTGCAAGGGGGGCCTTTTTTTTTTGGTATTTCATAGCAAAATGCCCCAAGCTAAAAAACTATTCATAATGGGCCACTGAATTTCTGCACTCAGCACAAAACTTTCGTGCACAAACGAAAGCAACAAGCTCTTAGTTCAGAGTTATCCTCAAAGCAAGTACTAGAGGAAAAGAGAGAAGATTAAAGAGGCGGCAGCTGCTTTGCAGTGCCAAGTAAAAATATATTTCCCCTGCACAGTGTAGGAGTAAAAGTACTGAGATCAGTATCATGTTTAGCTGCTACTTAAGATCAACTACCGAAACCAGAAACGAGACCAAAACGAACACAAAACGTAGCTAAGAGAAGACAAACCGAAAGCCCAACGATGTCCGTTTCGTGGGCAGGGAAATAAACAAAAGGACAGAACAAGTGATAATCTCATTACGCTTTGTCCTGTGGACACTCGCCTCCAAAATGCGCTTTTGCCTGTCGCTCATGCTCAAGTCATTCGCTTCTTTTCAAGGCCAACCGGATTACTTATTCTTCACTTATTTTTTAACGTCATCCTTCTGTTGATGTTTCTCTGTTTTATTTCTTTGTTTCACCCCCCATTTGTTTTATGAATTTCCATAGCAATTTAACAAGCATTTCCACGGTTGCTTTTACTGTGCTGCAGCACTGCATCTTTTTACAGCCAATTACCGACTTTTGACGGAGATTATTTTCCAATTGAATGACTGGCTTCAAGAACACGCCAATAAAGGGGCTCATCTGTTCAGAATGCCAAGTCTATGCCAAGTGTATGCAGTTAATTTTGAATCGTTAGCTGAAGCAATTCCCCGCTGAACCCCCCCGCGGATTGTTCGCCCCCGCCTGGCAGACAACATTTGCATTAGCACTCAAAAGACGGAATATTTAAGCGCGTCCCACAGTGCGAAAATAAATAAATTTGCTGTGTAAACAGAAGCGAACGCAAAGCGAGCAAAGGAGAGCAAACAAGAACAAAAAAATATATAAAATAAAATAAACTAAACTAAAAAAAAAAACAAAAACATGACAAAAAGCTGCGCCCATCAAATGAAAAGAAGAAACTGCAAATCAGCGCAGTTGCACCCAAAGGTAAACTTCAGGCTGGCTAACACAGAGAAAGAGTAGAGGAAAGCGCGGAGCTGAGCGAGCGGCTGGCTGAGAGGCAGATGGAGAGAAAGAGAAGCCCCACAAGTGGCAGAGCGAGGTCGGTGCGGGCTGCGCGCAAGTGAAAGGAGCAAAAGGCGACAGCAAAGCGAACTAACACAGCGGAAAAGCCTTTTGAAGTTCTACTGCTACACAGCAGTACTAGGGGCAGCAGAAGCAGCAGCAGCAGCAGGACAAAGCTCAAAAACAAGAGAAAACGCTATAGTCGAGTGCCTCGACAATAAGATACCCGGTACTCTGTGGGGGGGGCCATTATATCCACAAATCCTGGATGAGACTCTCAAATATTCGAAGTGCTTTGGGTTTTTGGTCAATTTAATTTTTGTGTCCTGATTGGTGCATCAAATTTGGTCTATAAATTGTATATTTTCCGAAAAGAAATCGATTTGTTTGGTTGCTTCCGAGTCTTTTGTGCATTTCCTTCAATGCAATATTCCCCTTGGCAGCCAAAAATTCCTGGGTATAACAACAGAGCGATGACGAGGACGGCGACAACGTCAGCAACGCGTCGCTGGCGGCGGACAGCAGGCGTGCTAAGCTAAACGGCTGAGGATGAGGGGCTAGGGAGCATGGCCGGGGTCAGGTCAGTCGTGCAGGCAAATGGCGAAATGTTCGGCAAAGCAATTTGACTTAAAAATGCTTAGCACTTGCATATCCTGGCAATGGCGACAGCCCCAGTGTCCACCGTCCTCATCCGTCAGCTAAATAAGGACAACAAAGGCAGCGTCAGCGGCAACGGCGACGGCGACGGCGACAAGGACAAGGCACTGCTGAAGGCAGCAAATAAGGAGAGTAGAGCCTTAAAGGATCACGAGCTGTGAGTGCGCTTAAGCTCATTTATTTAAATTAAAACAAACACTGCAGGCAGAGCAGAAAGGCAGTGCAGTGTAGGACAGTGTAGCACGAGAACACTACACTACAAGAAAACAATGTTGTTTCTAAAAACGAATTATAACGAATTGATTTTATGAATTTGTATTTTTTAGTTTTTATTTTTAGCGCAACTTTATTAAGGCGATTTGCCATATTTTTAGTCGCGTATTTTATATTTTATTTTTTCGTGTGTCGTGTGTTGGGGCGGACAGTGTAAAGTGTTGTCGGTACTGGGGGGGAGCAGTGTGGAGGCAAAGTTGAGTGGATTGGCGTGTGGGGTGTGGGCGAGCGGCTAAGCCGCCAAAGCATTGCCTCAGTGCATACATTGTGCATTGTCCCTCTCCCTCGCTCCATCTCTCTTTTCTCTTTCTGTTTGTCTGTCTATGTGTGTGCCTTCAGGGCATATGAGTGTAGCTGTATCTGTGTGTGTGTGTGTGGAACTTTGGCAACATTTCCGATTGCCAGGACCAGTGCCAGGGACTGGGCGGTATCCGGGCACAAGGCATCCCAGACCGGGGCGAAAGCAAAATATTTTGCGCCATTTGTCCTTTTTGTCATTTGTCCGGTGGCACAAACAGGGCAAATTGTTTGCAATAAAGCGCGTGGCTGGAGTGGAGTCGACTGTAGCATAATGCAGGTGCGCCAACTACCTGTCCCACCGCCACACCCGTTGTATGCCCCACCCAATGGATTCGCATTCGAAATGCGAAGCGGCCATCGAAAGCAATGGCCACAATAGAAAGATGCACTCGAGTGGGAGCCGTGCCTTTTTGGCATTGAACAACCTTAACAATTAGCAGAATGAATGAAAGAAAGAACGAAAATTGGATTAAGTACGCCTACTTGGAGTGGTATTAATGAATTATCTGCAGTATTACTGGCTATATCCATATAATAATTTATACCCTTATGGTGCATTGAAATTAGTTTAGCAATCGCATAATATGAGGAAATCCCTCTCATCCGGTAAACAATTATACACGGCAGATTCTCAATTATTTCATTTGCCGTTTTATTCAATGAACAAACATCTATTATGCACTTTCAAGCCATTTATATGTATATATTGGCTTGCAAACAGCAGCAGCGCCACAGCAGAAACAAAACCAACAAAGATGACAAAATGCAATAATTTGCGCTGGAAAGTTGAAGCGGAAAATCGCAAAATGAAAATGTTAATTGATTCTGTTTTTTTCTCTATTATTTTTTTTTGCTTTCTTCTTCATTTTGTTTGAATGCTGGATGGTGGCGTTGGCTGGCTGCTGCTGCTGCTGCCGCTGCTGCTCCTGTTGTTTCTTTCGCAGCTTTTATTTGTTGTAGTTGGTGGAAAAGTTTTGTCAATGGGATTTTTTATTGCAGTCGGTAAAAGTTTTTATGTGGCACCATTAGTAGCCAATTATTGGCGACTTCTGCAACGGCGTGGGGGGTGTGATGATGTGGG